GTAGCCACACAGAACAATCGAGAGGCTCATCAACTTTTTAGGTCTCCTAATGACCTCGGTCTTAACGACGCCATTATGCAACTAGCGCAGAAAATGAATGAAAAACACAAATCGCATTTCGTATTGGAAAGTGTCGTGTCATTGTGGCGGATTCCGCGTGCTGCGCGTTGAACTCGTGTGAAGATGGAAGAAGGGAAATAATGGCGGATATTTCGATATATTTTCTTAGCTGCATCTTCGCACTCTTGGAGTATTGAAATCGTTTCCGTTAACGTTTTAGATTAAGCGTTTAATATACGCGTATATTAAACGTATATTAAGCGTATATTAAACGCTTAATTTAAAACGTACCTGCACTGTATATCGGATTTTCGCAACTTTTGAAACAATACCATGTTATTGCGCGTTCAATTGTAACTATAGGTTTCCTAAGCTATTCGGACTACAAGCTCAGACCCATGTGTTGGTGATGATGTGGCATTTAACGGGGCTTATTTATCACCTATTGATATGACAAGATTTAACCCGTAGGCAATACAGCCGCTATCTGCTTACAATACAGACCGTCTTTGCTTAACGTGTGGCCGACCTATTAAATAAGTTTCCTGAAATATTATCACTGTCAGGAAGTACCGTTTGTCATGGAATACTAAATCGTTCAGAACCATCTTGGAGATTTGTCGAGACGTTTTAGACTGCAAACCTACATGTACATACCTATACACGCGACCCAAAAGTTATTTAAAAATTTGCTTTAAGCTTTTTGACCTTATGTACTAAATATTATTTGTTATATTTTCACTATATGTTTTTAATACATATAAGTTAGGAAGAAGCATAGAAAACGATATTAATCCAGTTTCCTTTACTAGATTAAAAACAAAAAATACTTTCTTGTGGCCCCTCCAACAATGTAGAGTACACATTGTTAGAGTTATGTTAATACTTTTAAAGCTCTTCCAAATATATTTTAAATACTCCAAGCAGAAATCATGTACATTTGTATGTAGAAAATGTTCGTCATTAATGAAGGATGCAATGCTTATGGTTTTTAGCTTTTTTTAAAAAAATGCGTCCATCCTGCACATTTGAATATGGCCTTCATAACGCGCGGTTGACAAAATGGCGCTATTCCCGCGCGGACATTACCGCGGGAAATGTTCCGCGAGTGCGCGATATTTAAATATATTTACATGCCCTAATGGCCGCGGGGGCCGTGCCATTGTTCTCGTTACGACTCCCTCGTTGCGATACGCTGTCGCTGCATCCGCGATTAAATTCTGAATATTTCAAAGTACAGTTCGAAAGTACTTCGTTGTTGTTCCATTTAAATGATTACCGCTTACAATCAAGTGGCATAGCAATGCACTAGCCAGTTATGGGTTCGCGACAAACGTTTCCTAATTTTAACTGCCTCGATACATTCAAATGCAAAACAAAGCGGCTTAAAGTATAATGACTCACCAGTTATTTACAAAGACGTCTAGTCTAAGTCATTTCATAACGTTACGAGTTCGTTTTAAGAAATTTGGCAATAAGGTAATAAGAAGTCCTACATTCGAAGAAAAAATTCTTTCCACCTACTACAAAAAGCAGTACTTTTGTATTTGGATTATGAAGAGCAAGCGAAATTAGCTACATATCTCTCGAATTTATATCACGTGATAACAATTAATTGTAACCATCGTGATTTATTTCGATCAGAATATAACAGGAATCAATTTTCCATTCAATTTGAGAGGTGCATATACCGCAAAACATTATCACGCGTTTGAAATCACTATAAAAGAGATAACGTCCGCCACAAAGCTGCCGACATTCAGATAGCTATGATGGATTTTCCTAAATAAGAATATAGAAACTTGAATACGCTGCGGTGTGGCATACTGGAATTCTCGAGGAAAACAAATTCAATGCAAATTGTGTACAAACAAAGTGAGTTTGCTTTATGCATTTTAATGAAACAAAATGTAAATTAAGGAACGTGCAAACATCATTTAAATCTATGTCTGTATAAAGTTATAAAAATTTCCAAATGCCTAAATTGCGGCAGTATTCGTATAAAGAGATTACCTTTGAAGCGATCTGTACTAGTGTGTCTTAATATTGCTCTCGTCATAAGATACGATGTGGCCAAATACAGTCCAGCCCAATCCACTAGTGCGTTTAAAACACGTGAAGACTTAAATCTATCTTTTTCTTAGTTATCATCTCAGAATTACTGTATTGTGCCTGCGCCGCTACACACTGCTTGAGTGATTGAAAGGCACTTAAATGGAAAGCGAATTAGACCAACAAAACGTTCATCTTCTTTGAATGGGGCACCGCTTAGTACGGAAATCACATGAACCATAAATCTTCAGGCAGATAAAGATCGAGTTTAGAGATCGTCGAAAGCGACTCCGATTTGAATTCGGAACGCAGCTTCGACGGTCGGAGGTAAACAGGACCACGGCGGCCATCTGATCGCTTTGCGTGACGCGCCTACAAAACACCCTTGTTTTAAGCGGATGGAAATTCACAAAAGTAGGCACGATCAGCGGAACAAAACAAAGACCACGCTTGTTACTCACTGCTCTATTGAGCAAAACATTCGCCAATTAAATTCAGTTTGTCTACTACACGGAGAAACTCATACAGACAAGTTTTTGGAATAAATACTGGGTAGTCTGTTGTATGGGAGCCTCACTTAAATATTTTTTTACTCTGTTGTTTTAATATTTTTTGTTGTAGCGACGACAGAAATACATCGTCTGTGAAAATTTCAACTAACTATCACGGTTCATGAGATACAGCCTGGTGACAGACGGAGAGAAAGACAGCGGAGTCTTAGTAATAGGGTCCCGTTTTACCCTTTGGGTACGGAACTCTAAAAATCAATCTACTGTAAATCATTAGCCGGCTATACTCCAAGAACCAAAAGTGATCGAGTACTTCGGTTTATCAGATGAAAGCAAAAAAACAAAAACAACACCGCGTATGAAACCCTCTTTACTGAACTTATCAAAAATGCTGCTCAGCACAAACATACACAATACGATTCAAGCATCCCAAATTGAACTAATTGCGTAAGACCAACAAGAACTGAGTGATTCGTGGGAGGTCACGACCCACATCGGCGGGGAAAATGACGAGCATGGGAGAAGGACACGCGTCATGACAAAATAGTAATCATAAATGGATAAAAAGGTTGAAGCCATGACGTTTCTGAAAGTGTAGAACAATTTTGCAGCGTCTGTCTCTTCGGCTAATTGTGTATAAATAAACGTTACAATTTTATTGCACTTGCATAGCCAATAGATTTACAATTGACGTATATCGTCATTTATCTTATAACTTATGTAAAGCATAATGAAAATGAATATTCATTTCATGAGCCGGGCAGAACACCACACAACAACAACTACTTCAGGTCCAATTAGAGCACATATGGGTGTATTTCGGATCTAGCTCTTTGCCTTGCGGTCGATACCTTGGCCTCTTTTTCTCTCTCAAGGTCAAACTGCGGCCACCACTCGCCCCAGATTTAACCTTATAATAGTTGACCTGCAACATAACACTTGGTGTACAATTGTATCCTATTGAATTACAATACCGAACAGCATTTGTATTAATATCACACGTTATAACATAATGTTTCTTCATAAATTTAGATCATGTTACTGCACATAAGCATCGAGTTCATGAGAATACAGGATTAAATACACTCAGTTCGACGAATGCAATAGTAAATAGTTTATTATTATATAAATATACATTTGTTTTATTCTAAAAACTGATCTTTGCACTTGAAGCTTTCTCTGCCTCGTGAAATAACATTTTATTGCGATTACACTTACGCAAAAATGCCATTAATAGTAAATCGTTTCACTTAGCACGTACCAAAGTCGTTATAGAGTAGTTAGGTGTTAAAATCAAATCGCTAGATACATTGCACACATTTCCAATTAGAAATATATGTGTTAGGGAAGGATAAAATATTTAATTCTACAGAAGCAGGGCAATACGAATAATTTGTTTTAAATTATTTAATAAAAAATGGAACTAAGTACCTAATAATAAATTATTTCTTGAATTGCATTAAAATCCATTGTTTTTATGATAGGTCATAATATTGTAGGTTATATAAAAATTCTTAATGCCAACATAATATCTCTGACACGGTTTGAATACCTGAACAAAATAAAAGTGAAACATGTTAACGGAGGCGTCATTGGCTTTTGATTTTCACGACCAGTCATCATCATCGGGTCACTATCTCACGTAATTTGAGAAAATACTGTCTAAAATGTAGTTGAGATATTGTTCTAAAGAGACAAAAATGAACATAAATACGAGACCAGAGTTGTTCATTCAATTCAAATGTGACACAATTTTTTTTGTAGGTTAGTGCATATGAGGACCAAGAGGTCATTAAGAAATGCCACAGGAAAATTTGCAAAGCTGTTTTCTTTTATGTGAGATGATGGCAAGTGAGCTGGCGGTTCACCTGATGTTAAGTGATAACCGCCGCCCATGGACATTTACAACACCTGTACGATTGGATATGCGTTGCCACCTTTTTAGAAAGTGGGCTGCGGTTATCTCACTCACCAGACGAATGGGAGAAGTATAACACTTAACTTCACGGCGATCTTCTGTGAAGTCGCGGTACCAAACCGTCCGAATCTGCCCATTCGTCCAACAGCGAAGACTGATGCGTGGCCTTACCACAGTTAAAAGTTAATATACTAAGTATTAACAAGGACTGTCGTTGAATTAATTATACAATATAAATTCGAGAACAAATACTATTTACTGTAATCGTAGAATAAATTTAATTGCCAGATATTCCCATTAAATTTCTTACCTACAGTGCTAATGATGTTCATGAAATATATCATCATCATATGAATCAAACAGATAGCACAGTCCTAAACATAGAAATTAACGAGAAATGAAAATGATAAAACTATAACAAATAAGTGAAAAATAATTCTGGAATATTTTCATCTTTACAGTTAATACACTGCCTGCTTGTAGCTGTTGTAGCTGGCACCCCACCACGGAAACACTATAAGCGCGATGGTAGGTGGACATTCATTACACATACTTGCCTGGTCTATTAAAGTTCTTGCTATGTATATTATTATTTGCCATTTCTTTGATATATAAATATCTTTATAATATTACCCTACGAGCTTATCGCGACTCGTGATTGTTTCATCTTACTTTGTAAGTTGTAACAATTGGGAATTTCAACTTTGAACGTGCAAAATTACATTAGAAGTAAAGCGTCAATATTATTGTTCGCAGCGCCCCTGAGTTCGTCTTACTTGCCCCCGTCGAGTGGTGGCGGTGGTAGACCTTCGTCCTCCTACGGGGCGCCAAGGCCTTCAAGCAGCTACGGAGCACCTAGGCCCTCCTCAAGCTATGGAGCCCCGAAGCCTTCTAGTTCGTATGGCCCTCCTAAGCCTTCCAGTTCCTACGGCGCCCCAGCTAGGCCTCCAGCGACCAGCTATGGAGTACCAACTGGACCATCAACAAGTTACGGTGCACCCAAACCATCAGGATCCTACGGTGCCCCGGCTCCATCTAGTTCATATGGAGCACCATCCTCGAGCTATGGCGCCCCAGCTCCATCGAGTTCGTATGGAGCACCATCTTCGAGCTATGGTGCCCCCGCTCCATCAAGTTCATATGGAACACCATCTTCGAGTTATGGTGCCCCCGCCCCATCAAGTTCATATGGAACATCATCTTCAAGCTATGGCGCTCCAGCACCTTCTAGCTCATATGGTTCCCCTGCTCCATCTAGCTCATATGGTGCCCCTGCACCATCTAGCTCTTACGGAACACCATCCTCTGGTTATGGTGCCCCAGCTCCATCGAGCTCTTACGGCGCACCCTCTAGCTCATATGGGGCTCCCTCATCTGGGCATGGAAGCAGTGGATTTAGCAGCGGCGGTAGTGCCTTTGGTGGCAGTAGTTTTGGTAGTAGCAGTTTTGGAAGCAGTGGACCATCTTCAAGTTACGGAACTCCTGCAATCTCAGCGCCATCCTCAAGCTACGGCACACCCTCCACTTCATACGGCACACCATCTAGTAGCTATGGTGCACCTAGCTCTGGCCATGGTGGTTCTGGATACTCATCTGGTGGGTCCGGTAGCTATTCTTCTGGCGGTCACAGCTCCACCAGATACTCCTCCGGCAGCTTAGGTGGATATGCTTCCGGCGGACATGGATCATCTTCTGGTGGACTCGGCTCTGGGAGCTACTCCTCTGGAGGACACGGATCTAGTGGTCACTCTTCCGGCGGACATGGATCTGGCGGTTACTCATACAGTGGTTCCGGTAGCCACTCATCCGGCGGCTCAGGAAGTTACTCATCTGGCGGTTCAGGAGGTTACTCATCTGGCGGTTCGGGAGGTTACTCATCTGGCGGTTCGGAGGTTACTCATCTGGTGGTTCGGGAGGTTACTCATCTGGCGGCTTGGGAGGTTACTCATCTGGTGGTTCGGGAGGTTACTCATCTGGCGGCTTGGGAGGTTACTCATCTGGTGGTTCGGGAGGTTACTCATCTGGTGGCTCAGGGGCTTATTCATCTGGAGGCTCAGGCCATTCGTCCGGTGGCAGAGGAGGTCACGGCAGCTCCGGTGGTGGTTATTCCAGCGGAGTTCCTGCCACTATCAGTCAAAGTTACGACTCCAACGGCGGGTACGTTTACTAAATTTTGTATATTAGTCCAATTAATTGTGAGCAAAGTCAACATTTCTTTTAGTTTATCAGGTTGAAGGTATTCGTTAAAGCGTTCGTATTACCTACATTTTATAAAATAATAGTATTTTGTTTAAATTTGACTTATAACATTAAACTAATGGTTTTATGTAGAAATGACAGTAATGCGAGCACACAATACGAGTATTTTTTTCTTTAGGATTAAGTTTACAATTTAGCGAACAGTTTAGGCAAAAAATAAAATAAAGTTACCGAATGTCAGTCTCTCTAATAATAGCCGTCGCTTCTTAGTTAGTATTGACAAGTATTAATAATAATTTAAAATTAAAAAAGAAATGTACAAAATCTAATTTAAGACCGATATATAAATAAATGAAACTGTAAGAAATATATTGATTGTAATTATTATTTAATAGTTAATAGTTTCATTTCCTTCAGTTGTTATGGTAGTAGTCCTCTTATCATCAGCCATCAGTCATCTTACAACCATCAAGATTAAATGTATGGTTGGCACGTGCAAAAATGTAAGATGAAACTGTTAAATAAACTATTTAACGAATTTCATCGCGATTAATTAGATTTTTAAATTCCCGACGTTTCGAACCCTTTCCACCGTTCATAGTCACGGGACAGAAACGTCGGAAATTAAAAAATCTAATTAAAGGCGATAAAATCCGTAAAATAGTTTCATTTAATAATGTAATATATTCGCGTAAAATCAAGAAATCACATCCATCATAGATTGTTTAACAAATGAACGTTCAGATAAGAAAATAAATTTGAAGGGCATAGATAAATTTCATGGCATTTGTTGGTTTTTGTACACATCATTCATATCGCTTATAGACATTAGATAAACATAGAAACTTAGCACTTAAAATTTAAAGTAATAGAAAGGCGCAAAACTATGAAGACTCGTGTGCCCATTACAAAATAATGAGCCTAAAGGATCGACGCATATTACTGGATATGACTTTTCTGCATGGTACATGTAAGGGAAAAATTGATTGTGGATGTTTTTGCTGATAGGATCCTCTGTTTTTGTACTTCCAAATTCAGGACGCTCTGTCTAAATCATCTAATTAAGTTTGTTTAAGTTTTGTTTAAAAAATACATATAACAACAATTTTCGCTCAGTTGATATTTTCCATACTAACAAGATAGCATTCAAAAGGTATATACCGCAAATTCAGACACACACACACACACACACACACACACACAAACGCGCGCGCACGAACGCATGTACAAGGTGTGCGCACCTCAGCTTGCTTTACATTTTTATTTATTTTTTCATTTTAGATATTTACTTTGCTACATTTTTTTTAAAAACATTGTTTACTCATAAACTGCTCCATTATTATTACATATATTCTAACTATAAAATGTAAACCCTTTCTTGGCTGTAATTTAAGCATATATGATAATCATGTAAACAACTAAAGGCTGTGGATTTTGTTGCTCAATAAAATAAAAATAAATTAAAATAAGGGGCAGTTTTGTTCAAAATCTCGCATTATTTGACATTTCGCGTTAATTAACACATATAGATTCAGTTAAATAAATCTGTTCGCGACCCTGCCTGCTTACTTAGCCAATGTGGTTTTGTAAAAGCTTGCGGAAAAGCAAACTTATTTTAAAATTGTTGATAATAAAACTAAACCTTAAACAAGAAACGACCTACTTCTATAAAGCCACCAACACCACCAAAATAATCTAATTTTTGGTGGTGTTGATGTTTTTCTTTGTCACTCCCACGAGACGTATCTCATGACACACATGACCCATAAAGTGAAATCCAAAAGATTTCGGCTTTAGAGCATACTAAATAATTATACATATATACATACATCCGAACTTACGCATGAAAAATTTTTCCCTTCTTCAACAGTCGGGTAAAAGAAAGACCGTAGGTAATTGTGAAAAAAGACCACAATTGTTGACAAAACATTTTTTTATGTGAAAAGTTGTCAAGCGAGCAGACGGTTCACCTGATAAGTGAATACCGCCGCCCATGGACATCTGCTACACCCTAGGGTTCCAGATGCGTTGACAACCTTTTGAAAATTGGGCTCCGGCCACCTCAGTCACCAGACGAAACGCGAAAGTATTATACATCCACTTTACGACAGTTTTCTGTGAGGTCGTGGTACTTACCCATTCGTGCAACAGCCGAGGCTGCCGCGTGGCCCTACCACCGTCAAACATGATTCTGGCCAATATGCCATTCTAATCGTTCCGAAATCTGCTTTAATTGGGTAACTTGTAGAATTTGTTGCTTGTTAGGGTTGCACCAGTTAAAGCAAATAAGAAATGCAACATACTATAAGTTTTATTTAAGTCACAGAATTTTCTGCAGAATTCACAACATTACACAGTAGTCACATTTCCAAATATTCAACAAGGACTAGGAATAATCATTAGTAAGTATAACTACAGACTAACAGTGGACAGGTCGCTTCCTAATCGCATGTCACAAGTTGATTTTAACTTACTGTGTTAAAAATAAACTGTCGAGACGAATAAAATTGTAGGTATGATGATACAGTTGCAGTAATTTTACATTTGCATACAGCGTGTCGTTACCATCGCGACAATAAATGAACACACGTCTAACGCTACTTGCCAATAATCATAAAATAATATTAACGTTAAACAAAATCCATAATTAAAAAAAAAATATTTTTCAAATAAACTAATTAAGTAAAAAGGAAACAAAATTTGTAACATCCTATACAACTCGCGTCACAGCGTCGTATTACAAGCCTCTCCTTCTAACAGTATGTTTTGTCTCTTTTAAATTCATTGAACCCATTCATATGCTTTGTGACCTTTACAAATGAACTTTACGTTACGCTTTTATAGGTAAGGGTGTTCTAAAATTCTTTGTTTTGGAAAATTTAATAACTCTGTAAATATTGATGTTTAAAGAATTTAAATGTTTAATACAACTTTAAAAAGTTATCCCCTATATGCGTCTTCATTTATTGTCGCCATGGTAACGACACGCTGTATAATATCAAAGTAAACACGATGACTGCTTTATTAACTGCAATTCACTAAAAGCAATCAATAAACAAATGAAGAGTGATCTCAGAACATGTTCATTAGGAAACGACGTCTAAGAACAACAACAATGTCTAATTCTACACTTAAAATATTTGATATGTATTCATTTCACACTAAATCACTATAATATGCTTTATTATTATATTACATATAAGTCACATTGATATGATATGTATCGTGGTAGTCTTAGCGAAGTTGTATAGGCATGTGATGTATCACAAAGATTCATAGATATGCAGGGTATTAGGTACGTAGACTCTAACATTTACACAATATAACCATCTATACACCTATTTATAATAGCGATATAAATCTCTCATAAAAATAATTCAAAAGCTTGATTACATCCAATACCGGCTTAATATAAAGAGATATAATTTTTTAAACACTTCATAAATATTTTTAACGACAAAAGCGTACAAACACAGTGGGATAACAACATCGATGGAGACAGTTAAGGTGACCAGATTGGTCGCGGGGTGGCCACAATGCTCACATATATACTTCATTGAAATATTCTTTGAACACCAATACATTAAATCTAACAAGGGTACAGGCAATGGACGCCGTCAGTGACAATGTGCACAAGAATTCCCGATAAAAGGTATTCTCCTGCAGCGCAACATTTATAAATAGGCCGATAAATAACTCTCACAACACTAACATTTTCGACGTTTAAATTTATTACATTTAATAAATTTAAAATAAAACATCAATAGAATAAAATAGTTTTCCATAATTATATGTGCTCACATATGTTGGGAAGTCCATTATCTAGTACACGGTCAATGATCGAGGGCTAAAATTATTTTCTCACTGGTATATTGTAACGTGATAATTATAAAGGGATAAACGCTGTAACCAAATCACTGCCCTGCGATATTCATAAAAGGTTGCTCATCACTGACAACGTCTGCTCTTGAAACATGAGCCTACATCTCAACCAACCTTAAATCTACGATGATGCCAAGTGAACACGAATAACATCAATAGACATCAGTAAAAACATACAAGCTAAATTCGTAATAAAAAGAGACAGCGCTAGAATTGCCTAGAAACTAAATATTTTGTGCACAGATTAATGTGTTGCGATTCAACATACATAATTTCCATATATGAATATCAAAATAAATGGAGCTGAACAATAAACTTTTCTAAATATGCAAAATCTCTTCGTGATCCTTAGATCGTACTATTAGATATGGATACTAGACGCTTTAGAAGCGACATGGCATGTGTATACGTATATAATTTTGCAAAGAATAACTATGCCAATTCGTTAGATTGGTCGCGTATTGTTCGACAAAGTTCTGTCTAAATAACACACTGCCGTGACGGCGTGCCCTACGAAGCACATACGCATATATTACGCTGTGCTTTCATCGTCCTACTTTAATTGACTTAAATAAGGAATCCTCTTCGATATAAACAATTTAATAAATAATTATCTCATTTACTAATATAAGTTCACATATTGATATGTATGGGTTCCATTAACAATATTTATTTGTTAGAATTATAATAATCACATTAAGTAGTATGTTTGACTACAAAATAAGTTTCTCTTAAATTCATAAAACACACCCACTAATAGTACATCTATTGCTTTAATGCATCAAATTACTATCTAAGTGAAGTTTCTGTCATACGCAACGTATGACATGTTTATAAGTAACATATTGCATTCTTTATAATTAGCACACAAAAACAGTGTTTCGGAAGGTATAAATAAATAAATCATTACTTTGAGCACGAAACTTACACCTGTCTAAGCGGATACTATATCAATATTATACATTGGAACAGCTCCGCGTCAATAGAAAATACGTTTGAAAAATACTCAATTTCCTATGAATCAATCAAGTGATAGTACTATGTTACCCGAATAAAAAGTACAAGCAGCCACATGTCCATACGCGTGAGAATCTATTCGGTTTAGTACAAGTAGGGGTCGTCTCAGAAGGCGGTCTGCTTGCCGAACGGCTGGACCGGCGGGGGTGCGCTGCTGCCGCCGAAGAGGGGGGTGGGGCCGTCGTTGGGGTCGTCCAGGTCGTCGTCGTCTGTCTCCAGGGCGGGGTTGATGCGGCCGGACCTCTCGTCGGGGCCCACCAGCGTGGAGGCGGCGCCGTACAGCCGGCCGGGCACGCCGCCCAGCACGGACATCTGCTCACCTGCCTCCGAGGGCTCGTCCACGCGCCGAATGTCCTCGGGAATGTTCACCACGCAGTTGAAGTAGTCCGACTCGGGGCTCAGGTAGCCAGAGTTGAACAGGAATCTGGCGAGGAGTTCGCACATGAGGAACCGGTTGTGTATTAATGTTCCTTAACCTAAAGTTGCCATTTCGAATCGCGATCTGTGGTGTCGATATAAAATTAAAAGGAAAAGTAAAAACCTACAAATACCTGCTGAGGGTATTAGGGTATATATAGTTCGCCATGTGCAGTCCCAGTGTGAGAAGTGAGAGATTTAACTGATCGGAAAATAAATGGTAGTAATGTTTGTTATTTGAAAATATTGTAAACAATATTTAATGGAAACAAAGCAAATAACAAACACAGGTTGTTCGGTTTCCAAAGCTATAAATAACAGAGAATCAAGACAATTATTATTGTTGTAGCGTGTAGCATACATACAATAATAATTTCACACCGTCTCTGTCATATTTCAAATTACGTTAACAACATTCAAGTTAAATTACGAGAATAATTCATCCCAGCAAAGCAATTAACCAAATCTCAAAATCTGAAACTCAAAGCGACTGAAAGCTTCACATTAAAGTGAAATTCGGAGTAAATTACGTTTCCAACATGTACAAGATTTCAATTAAGTTTAAATTTCATGTAAATTATACAATATTGTGCTACACAACATTCGGCTTAATTAGTAATGTTATGCTCGGACAAAATTATACACATACGCTGCGTAGCGAAAGTAACAGGTAGCTAAAAACAACTGTGATCCCCAGGGACACGTCCCCTGAAGAGGTGGTCGAATATTTCAAAAAATTGGGGTTCCCGGCTACATACTCGAGGGCGATAATGCCCAAGAGGTAAAGGCCGGGAACCCTATACCACCTAAAACTGGATCACCTCGACAAAGACGAATAAAAACGTCTATATGATGTGACCGAAGTGCTAAACATGCCCGGCATCACGATAGAGGCCTGGCATGGAAAGGGTGGTGCCGCGCAATGCCACCGCTGTCAGGGGTTTGGGCATGCATCTGCCAACTGCTACCGAACCCTGCGCTGCGCGCGCTGCGCTGGCGCACACATATCGGCCGAATGTCCGCGCAAGAGCGAACCGCCGAAGTGCGCCAACTGCGCAAAAGCGCACGCAGCAAATGATAGGCGTTGTGCGGTACTACAACGGGTGGCCAAGAGTCGTGGCATCAAGTTGTCACCACCACTGCCACCTCCTCCTCCACCCAGACAAACTCACCCGCTCGATAGGAGCGTTATGCCTCTTCCCCCTCAAACTCAGGGGAGCACGGCAACAATTCCCGCAACGGCTGCGAGCACGACGCAGCCAGCGGCAGGCACACATGCCACACTTATGCCACCGGCCAACGACGCCACGATTCGTGGCGTAGTGGCCAAAAAGAAGAAGAAGAGGGGGAAGAGGAAGAAGAAGAATAAGAGCTCTCAGGGTGAAGCCGCTTCCCAGCCGCAACAGCGATCCGAACAGTGGCTACTCCGATGCCTCAACCCGACTTCCAGACCGCAACCACTGCTGCATCCAAAAAACGGAAGCAGCAAAAACGACGGGAGAACGTTGCCACAATGATGGCAACACCAACACCGCAACCACGCCAACAAACGGCCCATCAAGGCCAAGGGGTAAGGGGTCCACCCACCCTCCACACCTTTGCCTCCTATTCCCGCGAATCAGCGTACGTCGCACAAGGAATTGAGGAGGCAATTAACCAATTGATCCGGTTGATGACAGGTATCCTAGGGGACATCCTTGTCTCAATGGCCACCGGCAATGACACTCTAACGGCGTTAACGAACGCCATCAAATCCCTGACCGCGGTACGCAATGGCGCCACAAATTAGGGCCATGTATTGGAACCTTGGAGGCATACTGCAACGGCTCCCGGAGCTAAGGATGCTGGTTCAGCAGCACAACATTCAAGTTGTGTTGCTCGGGGAAACCAAGCTCCGTCCGGGACAGCCGTTCCGCCTATCAAACTGCTATGCCTATAGAGGCCGTGCTGGTAAGGCGTGACCTAGTACACGACGAAGAGGAGCTGCGTAGCTTTATAAGCACGCGCTCCATAGGTGTATGCCTCCACGCGGCTGGGAAAGAGATACGCATGTTCGCTGCGTATCGCCCGCCCGGCTCGCCCTTCAACGCCAGTGACATCCGGAATATTTTTTCCGACAACACTCCTGCCATTATAGCGGGGGATCTCAACGCTAAGCATCCATCGTGGGGATCGAGAATTGAGACCCCCGCTGGCAGGAGTCTATACGAAGACGCCGAGGAGGTGGGCTATGAAGTGCTGGGCCCTGACAAGCCCACACACATACCCACCATCGAAGACCATGTTCCGGATGTCCTGGACATCGTGCTCTGCCACAAAGTGCCATGCCCTGTCCAGGTAGAGGTGCTGTATGATGCGGACACGCAGCACCTCCCTGTGCTCATCGTGCTGAGTCTGGCTGCGGACTCACTGGCTCCCAGAGGGTACAGGTACAGTACCGATTGGGGGGCCTATTCGAGAGCTATGTCCGACTTCAGTTTCGGTGCACCCATCTCAACCGCGGAGGACGTGGAGCAGGCCGCGCGCAAAATCACCTGTAAAATACAGGAAGAATTGCGCGCGGCGACCAAGGCGGTGCCACAGGTGCACCGAAAAGACACACTCCCGCGTAGGCTCCTCGATCGGCTGCACGAAAAGAGGGAGCTTAGGAAGCTGTGGGCACGCACCCGCTGCCCGCGAGTGAAGACACGTCTGAATCGGGTCAAGGATGAGCTGTCGGCAGCCATCAAGGCGTACAGGGGTGAGGGGTGGGAGCGCCGCAAAGAGCAGGCCTCCGAGTCGCAGACCTCCCTTCACCACCTTACCCGGCAGCTCACCGCACACCACAGCCCATCTGTCCACTCGTGGGTAGTGATGGGCGTAAGCACGTTGCAGCCCAAGACAGGGCTGACATACTGGCAGAGCACCTAGAAGGGCAATTTGTGGCCAACACATCGGCCCCAGGCGCCATTGCGTTCCACCAGGAAGTGGAGCGGCACATACAGGTGTTCCTGTCGGAGCCGGTGCCACGGCTGGATGGTGGATTATTCATCACTCCAGCCGAAGTGCGTAGAGCCGCGAGTCATCTCGCGCTCCGCAAGGCACCCGGCATCGACGGAATCACGACGCTGGCGATAAGGCAACTACCTAAAAGGGGGATAGTGGCGCTGTGTCGCCTGTACAATGGTGTACTGCGCACGGCGCACTTCCCCTCTGAGTGGAAAACCGGTAAGATCATCGTCCTGCCGAAACCCGGCAAGGACCGACGACTTCCGGCGAGCTACCGGCCAATCACGCTACGGCCGCACGTAGCAAAACTTTTTGAACGGCTGCTGCTGCGGAGAATAGTTCCCTGCATCGAGCTACGCAGGGAACAGTTCGGATTCCAAAGCGGCCACTCCACCACAGCGCAGCTGGCCCGAGTGCTGCACTATCTTGCGGCCCAGTACAACAGGGGCCGCATCTGTCTGGGGGTCCTTCTCGATATGGAGAAGGCCTTCGACAGAGTGTGGCACGAGGGCCTACTGTACAAGCTGTTGGAAGAGACCACCATCCACCGTGCGCTCGTGCGGTTAGTAGCGTCATTTCTCCAGAACCGGAAGTTCGTCGTACGTGTCGAGGAAGCCGAATCGGCGGTACGATGCATCCAAGCCGGTGTACCACAAGGTAGTTGTCTGTCGCCACACCTGTATGCGGTGTACACGGACGACATTCCCACCTTGGAGCAGAACGCCTCCGACTGGGATGAAGACGTACTGTTGGCCCTGTACGCGGACGATAGTGCGTTCTTCACGTCTTCTCACGTCGCGGCGATTGCGGCGAGGAAAATGCAGCGCCAATTGGACCTGCTGCCCGAGTGGCTGGATAAGTGGCGGATGTCTTTCAACGTCGACAAGACATCCGCCATCTACATCCGCCACATTAAACACCAACCCACGCTTGAGCTGCGAGGTCAAGCGATAACGAACCAGAACACCATCAGGTACCTTGGGCGCCGGATAGACCGCTCGCTGAGTATGGCGCCCCAAGTCGAACACTCAGTTCGACAAGCCAGGGCAGCTCGAGCGGTCCTCTACCCAATCCTGGCATCCAAGCTACCGGTAAAGACGAAACTGGGCGTCTTTAAGACCTATATCCGTTCGCGCTTGACCTACGGCGCTCCGGCGTGGTACGCATTGGTTTCCGCCTCGCAGAGGCGCAGGCTCCAGGCGCAGCAGAACCTCGCCCTTCGAGCAATCATGGGGGCCGGGCGCTACGTCAGGAATGACGTAATAGCCCGAGACCTTAAAGTAGAGTCCATCAAGGAGTTTGTGGTCCGGATGGCCCGTCGTATGTACGACAGGGCCGACAACGGACCACATCCACACCTGAATAATATCGCTCCTCTCCACGCCCGTCCTCCTGACGGGCGCCCGCTCCCACGAGAGCTACTGCGGTCGGAACAGGCCATTGGGGGGCCGGAGCCGACCGCACTTCCGCCGTGTCGAAGCCGATGTCGTCCTTGCGTTACACACCGAGTGTAACGCCGTACACCCGCCAGTGCCGCTACCGCGGTCAGGGAAAGGGATGGCCGTTGGCCATCCTCATCACCGACCAGCCATTGCTGGTCGAGATACATGCCCAAGCAATGGGGACATGGCCCCGAGGCTTGTTTATGCAGGGCCTTTGGCCAGCTGCAATACATCACACAACTGTGATAGTTTCTAAAATATCTGTAATCTATTCTTAAAACTCAATTATTTTGTGGATGACTAATTAATAAATAATCAAATGCACTCTGCACTTGATTATTTATTAATTAGTCATTCAATTCAATTTTCATAAAAAAATAACTGAAAAAAACCTCACTTGTGACAACAAAAAAGATATTTCAGTCCACAAATATTGTGGAATGGCCCTCCGCGGAATTGCATCTTGTCCTCAAAACACGCTTATTGATACTGTTCTGCCGGTGGTCTATAAACTATTCTCCCATCGTATGTATATAAACAAAATCTGGAATCTTCAGAAAACAATCTTCATCTTTCCATTGGACGTGCACTCGCAAAGCGTAATCTGGCAACACGATGCTCTTTGATAAGTTTGAGTCCACTTGCCTGCCTATAAGACTTTATTTGAGTCGTTGTAGAATCGTATCAGACCTGACATAATTGTGTTGAATTTCTTGCAGCTTCTTTCGAACTTAAACAGCCGTAAGATGGCGATTCCTTAGCACAGTGCTCACGATGTATCGGTCTCCTCGTATAATTGTTAACCTTTGCCTGCTATTTCCTGGTCTTGAAATTTTCACGCCGGTTTTTAGAAATCGGACCGTAATAAAGATGATATTTTGGACTGTAACTCCCACTGTTCTAGCAGTACTAACTATGCAAAATTGTACGTTTCTGTACCGTAGTAATAATCCGTGATATCGTAAATCATTTTTCAGGTGATAGTGATATGATGATCCGCTGATAAGTGTGGGCAATCTAATTTGCATCCAATTATTTATAATGGCAGCTCTACTCAACTAAAGCGAAAAAATGTTCTTGTTCTAATTTTACATTTTGTTATTTTTCGACAATCTGTTTTTTTTTTGTAACTTTAACTAATGTGTCCACTTTCTTGGTTTTAAAATAAAAATTACTAATCTACTTGTAACATGCTTTTTATAACTTTGAGATATCGTGATTTTTCTGTGACCAAATATTTTTGCGGGCCAGTGTATTTTTAAATTTATTTCGTATTAAGTTAAAACGTATCTTAATCTAATTTGTTATTGGATTACAGCATAACAAGCAAAGCTCTCGTTTAAAAATAAAAAAAATGTTCGTGAGTGAAGAACTGGCATTATGGATTAATCATGATTTATCTTAAATTAAAAAATTAAGGTATAAAAAAATATCACAAACGTGTCCATAGTTATTCTAAACTTGGAGCCAAATTAATGACACGGGCATCAGTCGATGCTTCAATTTTATAATGTCTGTCTCAGAGAAATGTATAGATAATCGATGGTAGGCTTACCAGAAGGAAAAGGTTAAAGGAAAGTTATATACGGTTTTAAAGACAGCTTTATGTGCCACGTCAACCAAATTGAGATGAAACATAAATTGTTATAAACTCTACATTGAACTCCAGTGATGTTAGAATTCGTAGTTAAATAGGATAGGTTTAATGTAACTGCGCTACTACTTAAGTAGTTTGTTAAAACTCTTTGGTACCATGACATTACCATAACTTGAATTATATACATCCTTTTTGAAAAAAGCCATCACCTTGATATTGTCGATATTGCATTCGACAAATAATAATTTTTTGGACAAGGACACCGATCGTTCGACGAGTAAAAATTTTAAAATGACGGCTATTTAAAAATTTTAGAAATTATTTCTTATTCCGCCTTAAACCAATGGGCTTAAAGTAAACCGTTATAACTTTAAACTTATGGTTATTATAAGATATAGTTACAATAAGCAGACATATAAACTCATTCATACGTACAAGAGGCATTAGGTCTTTAAAAAGTCAATGCCGAGAAATGTAGGTACTTATATCTTATACTGAAGACAAATGAACTGTCTTTTATTCGAAAAGAGACTGCCGGCAGTACAATTTTAAAACAGGCTAAACTTAAAGAACAAACTTTGCCAAAGCAGAATTGAAACTGGAATAAGGTGGAGATAGATATAAAAGTGAATCTAGGTCGCGCAAGACGAAATCAATACACGAAATAGGTCAAAGGTCGCCGGTGGCTAAATCATCGTGACACGCAACGATTCAGTTTCAATGTGAACTGAGTTATGGCATTCGCACCCATTATTATCGTCGCAGAACCGATAATATCAATATGTCCTAGACTTAATATATAGACATACACACGCAACTTTAACAAATTAAATGATATAATACGCACTCGCCTCCCTAAAGTAAATAACGGAGAAGTGGTAAAACATCCCCAACTCTAAGGAACCGTATTTTCTTAAACTTTTTTTTTTATGTGAAAAGTTGCCAAGCGAGCAGACGGTTCACCTGATATTAAGTGAATACCGCCCATGGACATCTGCTGCACCCGAGGGTCGCAGATGCGTTGACAACCTTTTGAAAATTGGGCTCCGGTCACCTCACTCACCAGACGAAACGCGAAAGTATTATACTTCCACTTTACACCGGCCTTCTGTGAGGTCGTGGCACTTACACGGACGAGCCTGCCCATTCGTCCAACGGCCGAGGCTGCTGCGTGGCCCTACACCGTAAAAACTAAACTTTTAAAACTGGGTTAAGACAATGTGTATTAAGATGCCAAAAAAAGGCTTGTGCATTCGGAAGACATAAAACAGTAACGCAATTTTCGTTTGCCAATTCAAAGACGCTCCCAATCGTTTACATATTAACACTAAATCTTTTGCAAATTTGGCCTTGTGTTATTAGTGTACTTAGTTGAGTTCAAAGAGCTAATCATATTTTAGCGTCACATCTAAAGAAAAAAACAATGATAGTAATTGATAGTTTCGTATATTTATGCGATTACACATTACTAAATGAAACATTTTTTTACGGATCACTCGCGTTCATTTCTTATTAAAGTTCCCGACGTTACGACGTACGCGTTTATCGTAAAACGTAGGGAATTTAAATTAAAAGTAAACACTACAAATCTTTACAAAAAAATGCTTTATTTCGTTTGGATTCCCGTTGTACCAAATTGAAAAAATACTATTGTCCAAAATATTATATTTAATGATAAAACCCCATGAAGTGTTCCTGTCATTAGATATTAGACGTTTTAGTTCCAGATCAATATCCCTGAGATTGCGGCGAAAAAAATGTCTTTCAAGACCCATTTGATGAATCTGGTTTGTGATTCATAAATTACTCGAAATAATTTGAAAAGGGAGAAAAATAAATGTTTGATTGGAGGATTGTTAAAATACTCTATTCCAAACAAGTTTGTAGCCGTCACCAATTCATTTTGTGACGTTTATTCGATAAATTAACGTTTATGAAGGCAAACCTTATTCAAATGTTTGCTTACGCTCGTAATTCTAAGAATTTGAGCCCTTTGAGCTAATGAAAATGTACCAAAGTAATTTGAGAAACTTAATAATCCCTTATGTTTACAGTATTAGGATAACCTTGTTGAAACTCGACAGCCTCATTACAATCGTGTTAGTAGGTTCTCAGCCTTTATTAAAACATTATAAAACAATTACTTTATATGTAGATATTTAAATTATGGAAACATACGTTCTGCTGTTTTTGGCAATACTTATTAAATAGTTGTTTCGCAAATATGACATCGCGGATATAAAATTCATCCAGACTTACCCAGAATTTTTGTGGATCACACTCAATTTTTTATCTACGAGAAAAGATCCTAAGATCGAGTTCATAAACAGAAACTAAATATAAAGCAGCACATAGAAACTAATTCTATAGCATGAACATATCATTATTTTGATTTATCATCGCCATTATTTTCTTTATTGTCATTAATCTTCAAATGTAACGAAAAGCGCACTTCGACTCGTTTAGTAATCGAAATGCTTTAATAAACGTTCACTAGGAATTCTCCTGTATCGTAAGTACGTTTACAGAGATAAATTTCAAATACACAAATACCCGGTCCCGAAACAATTATCTGTAAGCCATACACTAACCCGCACGAAACACTCGTTTCGTGCGGGAATCTTTAAAATTAGATATCTACCTGAATCTAAATGCTTTAATAAAGATTACTAGTAGTACTACTAGTACTAGATTAGTAATAATTATAGTAATATTAACATACCGCACAGTCTTTTTTTATTTTCGATTGTGATTATTAATTGTATGAAGTTGTATTCACCCTACACTTAATAAAGATAAATTATTACAGACCATGATTGAGGGATCTAAATGAAGAAAGCAAGGTCTTATAAACAGCACGAACAACCAGTCTTATTTAAGAGACCTGTCGACCGGGTAAGTACCACGACGTCACAGAACACCGGCGTGAAGTGGAAGCATTATGCATTTCGTCTGGTAAGTGAGGTAGCCGGGTATTAAAAGGTGGCAACGCAACTGCAACCCCACAGGTTTTGCAAACGTCAATGGGCGGTGGTTATCACTTAACATCAGGTGAACCGCTAACTCGTTTGCCGACTTCTCACATAAGAGAAAACTTAGAAAAACAAAGGAAGAACTAAGTAAGGAGCACTTACACGGAGAGCCAGGAGATGAAGGCCAGCGTGAACAGTGACATAACCATGGCCATAGTGCGGAACGGGAACAGCTGCACCTCGTTCTCGGCGTCCCAGCCGGGGTAGTGGATGAGCGCGGGCAGGCCCAACAGCTTCTCGCCGCCGGAGAGCCGCACCAGCAGCGCCACTATGTACGCGGCCAACGAGCCGTACGTGTTGCAGTAGTGCTTGAAGTGGACCACCATCAGCAGCTGCGGGAACAGGATCACGTACACCAGGTCCGAGCACATCGACCTGGGGACAAACGTATCCGGTTAATGCTTTGTAGTTAACGTGCTTCATCAACTATTTGCAACGCTACGGGTGTTGCAAATGCCCATAGGCGGTTATCGCTTATTGTCAGGTGGACCACCAGCTCGCTTAACACTTTCTCACATAAAAAAGTCAGACATTTGCGCAAATATGCATGTTGATTGCTATGTACACTTTGTCTATCGCCAATATGCGTAGGACGTTCTCTACAGAGTTCCCGACAAACTTTTGCACGATAAATTCTTTTGTTCACTCCATCTGAGACCGATTATTCATCATACCTTGCAACTCCTTTAATGTCATTTTCGCAATTTGGCATTATGTCAGTCAGTCAAATTGACATTGACATTGATCATTGACCGCAACAAAGTCATGTGCACATCATTATGTTGATGCATCATCGCCATTAGTATCTTTATCGTCATTAACCTTCGAATGAAACGAATAGATTCTCCGCAGTTAGAATGTGTTTATTCAAATTTCATTATTTTAAATTGCTCAAGCGTTCCCAATGTGTGAGATGTAATTAAAACAAATTTTATAAAAACAAATTGAATGAAGATTTGTGAAGTCCGCTAATCCGGTGTGGACTACTCCTAAATACCTTCTGTACACACAAGGCCTTTGCCCAGCAGAAGGACATACTCGTATATAGACGGATACCTTACTTTTTACTTTTTACGTTAATGGGAACAATATTTATATTTCCCCGTAGATTATTGAATAAATATGAAAACAATTGTATATGGGTTATAGAATCCGAAAGCGTATTTATAAGGTAGGAATACAATTCGAAACTAATGGATTAAAAGGTTAATAATAAATATCCCCACGCCACCCCGCACCCTCTCCGTTTCCCGGGATCCCCCTTACTCCTTCCCCAATATTTCAATTATAGACCGGTGCCACCCGTGGCGTTCCGTTAACTTGCATTTGAACACAGAGTTGTTTGATCTGCTCCTGTTGATTTTTAATTTACAATTCAATCTACGACCGTGAAACTTGAGCAAGGGTTTACCGCGTACGTTGATTTTAATTTTTTATTTATTCTATTGTTTCATCTTGTTATAATGTCAAATAGGAAAATGACACAGATGATAAACAACATAAAGCTGCGCAAAAAAGAACTGGAAATTATTTGGTCGTGAGAAATTTTTTGTATAGTTCAAGTTACTTACATTGAAGGATTTTTTAGTATTTATGTTGTTATATTATACGGGTGGGTCTTCTTTATCGAGGAACAATATACATCACAATGTGCCCAGACCGACACCTACTCTCCGATTTGATCACCTTACACCACCGATATTTCTTCTCTTATCATTAGTTGAGCGCGTCTCGTGTAGTATATGTGAAAAGAACTTTTATATATTATCAGCGTGGAATAATTTTTATATTTCAAGCTTCGACAAAATCGACTCGAAATTATGACACCAATACATTCAGCTCATTGCTGACAATTCAAATTAAAATAGGTTGAGCTAAGAGTGCCCCATTTTTGATATTGATGCTAGTGTAAAATAAAATTACTTTTATAAAAATACTTTCTTCTGTGTTTACATGACAGGCATTGAACGGTGGTAGAGCCTCGCAACAGCTTCAGCTGTTGCACGAATGGGCAGGCTCATCCGGGTAAGTACCACTACCTCACAGAAGACCGGCGTAAAGTGGAAGTATGACAAATACTCTCGCGTTTAGTCTGGTGAGTGAGGTAGCCGGAGCCCAATTTCTAAAAAGGTTGTCAACCCATCTGCAAAGCAGGTCGTAGCAGATGTCTATGGGCGGCGATATTCACTTAAAATTAGGTGAACCGTCTGCTCGTTTGGAAAATTTTCACATAAAAACAATAAAATGAAAAACAACTTTTTAGACTTCTCTTCAATTGCAATTATGACACGAGCGTATTTAAGGCAAGGTCTTTTAATAGGTAAGAGCATTTACGGTATATGAGTATCGATGGTTTCCTTCCGGTAGAGTGTTCAAGTACCAGCCATTTTATTATGAAAAGTTAGAATATAGTATACGAAAAACAAAAAGAAACAATTACTAGGTCTTTTAATCTTACTAATTATGTGACGGAAATACAAAAATAGCCACGAAAACTTCACCGCTGAAACCAAACCACATTATGTAATGACCATATCATTTTAATAGTGACAACATTCTCGTTAGCACGGTGCTCACTAACGCCGTCAAATTTGATGTAACACCGATATAGCGTTTTATCGATCAAACAAACACGCGACCCAGGCTTACGGGGAGACGCGTCGCTTCCCTTTAAATCGTATCGCAGTGTCGGTAGCAAAAAGCTTGACCCCTTTGCTATGTTAAGCAAAGAGGATTACTGTTACTTCAGAGAAACAATATTTAATATTTGAACAGCTATTGAATGTTTATTAATTCTTCTTTTTATTTTAATACCAACCATTTCTTTTTGCTTTCTTTAAAGTGGCTGATTTGAAGAAATAATTTAGATATGCTTTCTGGAAGTAGAGAAAGAGTTATTAATCAAGTTTTTCATAAGGCTGCTCGATCGTAAAAAAATTAAAATAAACAATATGTACTTCGTAAACAATCATCTTGGTTGAAATTCCTTTGACAATATACTTTACAAACGAGGATTTATGAAAATAAATCGATGTTTTACGTATGTGACCAGGAAACAACATACCAGGAGAACTAGAAAAAAAAAACATCCAAATGCTGTTAAATACGTTAAGTACTTAAATCTAAAAAACCATAATTGGTTATCACTTTTAACACTATACTTATAGTGTTAAACGCATTTTTCATTAGGAACTTAATAACGTGAAGATATAGGATAGTTCAAATATCTAAAATTTATTAAACTGTTACATGGTGCCAAGAACAAGAACTAACTCAAAAATAGAACGAAGCACTCACCAAAGCCCGTAGATGGATGGGATGGTGAGTGCCATCACGGTCGACAAGACTCCCACCACCAAAATGGACACGCGCATCACCCAGATAATCTCCATCTCTGACGCGTTCTGTCTGAAGATCAGCTTGTAGACGTTCCTGCACGGAGAGTATTCAGGGATTTAGACAGATCCAGATTTGTACAGTAAAGTTATTAACGATAAAATAGTTTATACAATTCCACAAGCGAAGGATTTCCGTGGGCTTGTGTAAATGTATCGCTCACTTACATTGTAAATGAGAAAGTTCTGTCAGATAGTGTTTATTCCTTCTTCAGCAGTTGCTGAACATATTTAAGTTAAATTTGAAATAGAGAAATTTCAGAACAAAGTCAGTCAAACACTGTCTGTAAATAATACAAAGGGAAAAAAAACCTTTATTTGAAAAAGTTAAGAGACAGTGACAATTGACAATTATTACTTACACTATCTCTTGATTATTCAAAGAAGAGTAATTTTTAATGCCTCTACTCGTAAGCCTGTGTGTCTCACCTGGCAAACATGGACGAGGCGCTGAGCACACTGGAGTCGGCCGAGGACATGACGGCGGCGGAGACGGCGCCCAGGCCGAAGAACGACACGAAATCGGGCGTCAGGTGCTGCAGCACGAGCGGCAGGATCATGGAGGTCTGGTCCGAGGTTAGCTCGCCGTCGGGAGTGAGGTCCCCGTGGAAGTTGGTCTCGTTCCAAGCTGAGTAATGCCTCAATTCAGTTTCGACGCAACCGTAAGAACATACTAATGCGTCCAATGACATTGTATACAAATAAGAGGTAGATATGGCATTAGAGACACCGAATCTGAGGGACTCAGTTTACGCCATTGTGTTTGCTGAAGTTATGGCTTGAAGAGTCAAGCGAGCAGCTTCTTTTAGATAGGTTGAACGTCTGGAAGAAGTACAACGGACTAAAAGAAGACCAGCTTAAACTGAAGGTATAATACTTTCGCGTTTCGTCTGGTGAGTAAGGTGGCCTTGGCCCACTTATTTAAAGATGGTTAACGAATCTATCACCCCTCTGATGTTTTGGTTATCCATGGGCTGTAATAATCACTTAAGAGTTAACTTTCTTCAAGAAAAAAAATTACGGGAGAAGTCAATCTTCACTTGATTCGTTTTTAAGAATAAAATCGCTAACGTCTGTCTGAGCTAACGTCTGGGTACTAGTAAATTTTGTAAGCTTTCGGCTTCAAGCAATAACACAATATAAAATGCTCATAAAGGAGATGCTCATGAAGGAGTTTTCGCGAGTCACAAGCATCGTGTACATATACACGCGCAAGAATACTTGAGTAACTTGTAATCTCAAAAATATGTAAAATTATTTATAAATATGTAAACGCTGAGGTAAAGGTAAAATCCAATTTTTTTAGCAAACTGTCTAAAGCTTGATTGCTATAGGTGCCTTATAAAAGTTCAACGGATGCATTTTAAGTTTGTGCAAGTTCAATATTTTGCCTCTAAAAGTATGTCGACATTCTCACCCGTCGCTTTGGCGATCGCCCCGATGAGCACTGGTGGTATTGCCATGAATATGCACCCGATTGCTGCCACGTACGACAGGATCTGGGCCCTGCCCGCCGTTTTGCTGCTCAGGACACGTTGGAAGTACACCTATACGATTTATAAAAAAAAATACTTGTGAGCTTACAATTGTACAATGGTCTCTTATTGATTTTATATATATATTTTATGCATAATTAAAAAATATGTTAGCATTCTGCACTCCTCTACATAATCTATAAATGTGGGAAATTTCATATTCCTCCGTCCGCTCATTTTTTGTCAAAAAAGGTACAATGTTTGTTGTTTCACGTATTAAAATATAGATTACAGCTTCATTTTTTATGCACATAATGGTTCGATTAATGGTTATATAAATAAGGCCTCAACACAGTTTTAGGATACGTACTGACGTAGACGTAGCATTAAATAAGAGCGGTTAGCTGAAGTTTTACTCCGCCAGTCAATGAATTAAAATGTTTACTGATTGATGTGTATTCTTTACGAACTCCACAGAACTAACTATTCAATAATGTTAGCAAAAATGGCTTCTTATCACGATTGAGTAAATCCTTAATGTCTTTCGCATTTTCAAAATAGGTCAATACCAAAAATCGGACAGCCATTAGCTATAGACAACCCGAAATATTTTTCTCCTTCTAACATGCAACTGCGCTGCTCTCACCTGCCACGGTATCCCACCGAATATCAGTAGCAGCCCATAGTCTGCGTAGAACCAGTAGTAGTTGGAATCGATGCTCCCGATCCAATCCACCTCCATTGAACCGAGCGGCTTGACGTGCGGGTTGGCCCAGGCGAACGGTATGCACATCCACAGGCCGAGGAAGATGCAGAACAGCTGGATGACATCGGTGTACGCCACGGAGTAAAGGCCCCCGAACAGTGTGTAGAAGACAGCGACGCAAGCGCTGAAGATGACTGACGTGCGGTGGTCCATGTCTATGATGACGGCTAAGGTGGCACCTGGAGGAATGGACCTACGTCACACATTGTCCTACTAACAAGAGATCTAGATTGGTGTCATCAATTTTTAATTAACCACACTTAATCCCTTTTTTCGTATTTCTTATTCATATACTTATATTTATCATACCTACATTAAACTAGTTAAATTAGTTTAATTTCATAAGAAAAAAATATTTTTATAGGATTAAATAAACTATTACATAGCTCTAGCTACTAATTTTACGATTCGTAAATATTGCGTGATATATCTTCAAATCGATAATAATAAAGCATATTTTCTTAATCTCAGAATATTTTTTTGTGTTGCTATGTATATATTATACTTCCACCTGCGCCTGAAAGAAATCACTTCAGCTGGATATTACACGTGTTATTGTAAATCGCCAACGCGGGAATCGAAACATGGTCTTCGGGAATGGGGTCTAGACGCTTTAACTTCTAAGTTAAACGGCTGATTGCCACACCGACGAAAATCTCAACGATTTTCTCTTTTCTGTTCGCTTTTTAAGCATCATTCTACTTACAATTTTAATGTTTCATCTGAAGTGCAGAGATTAACTATATCTTTACTTCCTCACTAATATTATTAAGGCGAAAGTTTGTATGTATGGATGGATGTTTGTTACTCTTGCACGCAAATACTACTAAATTTATTTTAATGGAACTTTACAATAATATAGCTTATACATCAGTATAACACATAGGCTATAATTTATATACATCTTTTTATGTATGTCGTCTGCATACCATTGTTATGCAGACGATAGCACTGTGGATGTCTCGTACACTGGCCGAGCTAACATTTCTCGGGAAAACGTCTACGAGAGCCGGAACAAGCTTGTGTCTGAAGTCGAGACTTTGTTAACCAAAGTCTCAGACTGTCAAAAAGACACAAGTTTGCGCGTTAACCGCTAAAAAATCCCCATTTGTCGTGATTCCTAATTTCGAGAACACTCCCCTATCTGCCACAGCTAGTATCGGAATACTAGGCGTCGAAATCTCAAGCAACGTCCAGTTCCGCGGTCAATTGGAAGGTAAGGCCAAATTGGCCTCAAAGAAACTTTGTGTGCTCAGCAAGGCGAGACAGTACTTCACGGCGGCTCAACGCTTAAAACTCTATAAGGCGCAAATTCGGCCCCACATGGAGTACTGTTCTCATCTTTGGGCGGGAGCCCGTCATTACCAGCTTCTTCCATTTGACCGCATTCATTTCATCGACGATCAAAATCTTTCCGATCAGCTTGATCCTTTGGCTCTGCGTAGAGATGTTGGATCACTCTGCATCTTCTACCGCATTTATCACGGGGAGTATTCCGAGGAATTGTTTGGATTGATCCCGGCGGCTGAATTCCACTATCGGACATCGCGCCAAAAATTTCATCCACCCCACCTCGATGTCCAGCGTACCACAACAGCGCGATTTTCAAGGCATTTCTTGCCTCCCACAACCACTCCGTGGAACCGCCGCTGATCGGCCGCCGCCGGCGGTCTTTCCGAACCGTTACGACCTGCGAACCTTCAAGAAGAGAGCGTACTCTTTCCTAAAAGGCCGGCAACGCATTTGTAAGCCCTCGGGTGTTGCAGATATCCACGGGCGGCGGTGATCACTTACCATCAGGTGAGCCTCCTGCTCGTTTGCCCCCTTTCTCCATAAAAAAAAAGTCTGTCTTTCTGTCTGAATGTTACGCCTTCAGCCTATTCTAAGCAGACGTAATGCAGCTAGTAATGCAGTAGTAGTATAAAAAGTTAATATAAAATCTATAAAACTTCATTCCAGCTAAGGTTAACATATAACAAAAATATAATTTTCCTGACCGAATGATTTTTGATGTAGTCAAATTTTCCATTTAGAATTTTTATGTAGACGTTAGATATTATATTTTATTATATTTCGCTGTTCACAGTCTGTTAATATATTTAATAAGAAACACATTTAACACAGCACCGCGAAATTGGTATGGGTATTATTAAAAAAAAACTTAAAAAAAGTATTTTTTTAACAGTCATGAACTTGTGACCATCGTTGTACAAAATAAAATAGCCGTACGTTTACGCACCTCGCGATCCTAGATTCCACCGTAAACACTAGATATCATTAAAATACCCTTATCCCTTCGTTATAAGTTTACTGCCAACTCTCTTCACAACTTGGCAAATATAATGGAGGCACTTGAGCCCGTTGATTTGGCGCGTCTGGCCAACTGCCAACTGCCATCCCGTGAGCTTGTAAGCCACAGAAAGTTCTAGGCTTTACGGATATTTGAACAAATCTCCGCCCCGTATAGAGTGAGATCGATATATTCACAATTTCTTCTATAAGCCATGTTTTGATTTTGAAAACTGACAATATAGGCCATAGTTCATTTTGAAATACGGAATGTTAAACCTATAAAACGTAGACATTAATGGAGGTTATAAATATCGCTGAAGAGATATTTTAACAGCATAAAATAACATATTTCTTAATCCGTACTACACCTCTATAATTTATTTAAACATATTTTCATATAGTTACATATGAAATAGTATTCTTTATTATACTAGTATGTTCTTCGACACTACTATGAATATTATTAAGCACGTGCATTATTTAAACAAGTAAGAGAGCTCCCCTACAAAGCGTAGCGTTGTTTGAAGTCTATTGCACTCTGATACTGTTAATATCGCCTACAGTACCAAACACCGAGACGAGAATAAGAGCCCTTTGCATAATTTAGCGTCTGCCCTCGACCCCTAGTCTCGAGAAGCTCCGAAAGCGCCTTCTTAAAATTCAATACCTACAACTGTTGTACCTTTATTTGGGACCTTTGCAGCGCACAAAATTAAAACCACAAACAATAGAGTAAAAAATATCGTTAAGAACAGTGGTAAGCAGTAAACAGATCAATTAAAACTACAGAGATTTCCCCCGTGGATGAGCAATACCAATTTAGTTTGCTTGTCTTACATATTCTACGTTAATCTACATTTTTAAATAGGTGAACACAGTCTAGCTACCTTGAAGTACATGATCGGTTGCGATAAATAAATAATTATACAGTCTTAATGAGACAAATTCAATATTAAAGTTTTTCATGTTGTGAACAGAGCGTACATTATGTAAGAACCAGGCCGCGAGCTCCGTTTTACATGAATCGACTGGTTCCAGCAGGGAAATACCAGGGCCTCGTAGAAGCAATCCCTACTAATATTATAAACCCAAAAGTTTGTATGTATGGATAGATGTTTATTACTCTTTCACGCAAATACTACTGAATGGATTTTAATGAAACTTTACACTAATATAGCTTATACATCAGAATAAGACATAGGCTTCTGTCTGAATGTTTCGCCTTTAGCCTATTCTACGCAGACGTAGTCGCGGGCAGCAGCTAGTATTGCATAAGTCGAAAGCTCCTTCACGGGCGGCTTTTCACCATAACTTGAAAAGCTTTATCGTTTTCCACCTTCTCCTAAAATAACATCTTACCGAGTGCGGCCAGGATGCCGGCGGCCCAGAAAACCTCGCCGCAGAGAGCGGGCAAGAAGAGAAGACCGCCCATCCGGCTGCCAAAAGAGTCCTGCAGTGGATCCAGCATAGTCACGTAGCCCTGCTTGCGCATCGGGTTCGCGAAGAATATACCACCTGGACACAACAAAAAATCATTAGGCTTCCGTACAAAGGCTACGAGCATGTAAAAGGATCTTTTCTATGGCACCCCAACACTTCTGTCGCTGTGCTTATTCGCTAAAATCATTAGTGTGTGCAAAATATCCAAGTTTCCTTAAAAATATACCGACTACGACTATATGTCGAGGCAGCTAAAAATGGATAATTATTTCTCTACATGCGTGTTATATCATGGAGTCTCTATGACTGACATCGAAATACCTGATGAGTGTGACCATTATAATACAAACTCTTATTATAATGTGATACATCACATTGTGCATTGACAGTTCATCTTGAGCTGATTTTGAAAGAAAGATAGCGACCCTGTAGTAGATCCCGCTAAGTTAGTTGAAATATATCTGACGTGAATAAAAAAAGGATGCACTATAAATGGGTATTAAATATTGATGTGGAAAATAAATACACTGGAAAAGCCCAATCAAGGAAATCAAATCAAGGAAACTTTATTTTACAAAAGATGTCACTTGTCAGAGCACAAAATATGCGTAACGACTAGTTAAGCTCAATATGCCATATAGTTCTACTATTTTAATTTAAAGAAGCTTCCGGTGCAGCAAGCAGTATAAAATTCAATATTTAGATAAAGCAAGAACAGTAAACTACGAGCCGAACAAAGACCTTTTAAGCAAAATAACTATATTAAATGAGTCTATTCATATCCCTCTTTTGGAACAAAACTTGGCGCGCCAAAAGCAAACCCTATCATGATTTATATCATATTAAAAGAAAGGACCTGAGCTCCTTAACCCTTCTACCATACAAACACAAAATTCTATGCACAGGAACCCGTTCCACTCTGTGAAGTTATAACGAGGTACCAAGATAAGTATCGGCCAACAGCAGTAGCGAAAAGTTCTGGCGATAACACCAATTTACGCCCAAAGTTTAATTTCTCTTAATCGGATTTACTTATGTTACGGTAATGTTTTGGTAATTAACTAATTATAACTATATGTGAGAGATTTCATTGGTTTGATCAACCTATTTACTTATCAAAACAAAACCACTACACAAACAAAAACACTACCTTTGTGGTAAAGACATTATGGTATTGCTTAACCATAAACTATATATATATAAGATAATGTATACCATTCAAGGCCTCTCCAGGATAAAAACTGATAGGACATTCGAACTCCTATTAATTTTCTTTGAACTTAAATGAACTTTTATGAAGCGCGGTTTAATGTTAATGTAAGCATTTTTTTAGCAAATTTGTGATTGTGTTATTCATCATCTAACTAAACGCTTAGTATGTATAATATAACTTTGAAGCATTAAAATTTTTAAACTTTAGCTGCCTCTCATCTAAAAGGTAATTCGAACTAGAACACAATGCTATGTAAACTAAATTATTTAAAAACTCATATAAATCAATAAATAGACATGACTCTTGGTCCAAATGTGGTGGATTGTACCATAAAACCATAGCACTAAAATACCATACATTGAGGACCATAAAAAATCAATATGATAACCTTGTACCAATAACAAATGAATCAATTAGGTATTACGTTATACAGAAAAGTAGATAATAAACCGAAATTTATAACTATCGATGAATATATTCATTTTGATTTAGTAAACTTCTCAAGTACAGTCTTGTAATACATCTGAATTTAGATATTTATAAATCAGATTTCTGTAAAAAATAACAGTGGCATGCGAGCTGGCGTTTCACCTGTTGTTAAGCGATAACCGCCGACATTTACCACACCCGTAGTTACAAATGCGTTACCACCTTTCAATGAGCCGTGATAGCTCAGTGTCCGGACTCTAATTCGATGTACTCGAGCAACCAGAGTTCGATCCCCGGTGCCGGCACCAATGAAATAGTTAATTTTAAGTGCCGAATTATTATCACGTGCTCTGTGGTGAAGGAAAACATCGTGAGGAAATCTGCATATATTCGAAATAATAATAAAAATAAAATATTTCGAAGATATGTGAAGTCCGCCAATCCGTAGTGGGGCCGCATGGTGGACTATGCCCTGATACCCTTTGTACAGAAGAAGCCTTTGCCCAGCAGTGGGACATGTATAGGCTGATACTTTACTTTACTTTTTACCACCGCATTCACTCGATCTTCTGTGAGGTCGTCGTACTTCCCCGGGTGGTCCTGCTAAATTGCTTTATTGTTGAAATATAAGCTGAACCCATGTCAGCTGAGTTACCGTGGCTGTATGAAGTACAAAGCAGCAAAAACTCTTACCAAACACCAGAGAGAGTGCATAGCCGAAAGGCGCCTGACACCAGACCAGGCCTGATGTGTAGATCGCCTCCGCTGTCCCGTTAATGTAGCCCCCGCCAACCCATGTTGCTGCAACAAGTAATGCACATGAAACACTCTTCACAAGAGTAATCTAGAAAAGTGTCCGGTATGAGAACTTTTTAAATGTACTGAATTTAGTAGGAATCTGCAGAACGATTTTGATTACAACGCAAAATCGCCAATCTCAACAGAGAATAATCTGCATTCTGAAAAGTCTTCATATAGTCTAATTATCGGTAGGATAATATTTGGTACGACATTTGTGTTATTGATTAAACTACAACTACTCACAAAAAGTTACAGGAAATATTAAAAGATAGAACTAGACACCTAATCGCATGTATAGAATATGATGGAACATGTCATCTTCGTGTAAGAACTCACCTGTCATGGTGAATATTCCAACGAATAGGCCAATAGACCTGCCGGCCAGCATTACCTCCTCCTCAGAATCATTTCCCGCCGGCTTCTTACGACCAGCCCAAATACCCACGGCCAGGATCAACACGTAGAACAGGATGATAGAAATCACTCCAGCTATGTTAATCATCTTGACGTTTGGATGCCTTCCTATACAGAAATAACAGGCGAAAAATATTTCAAAGACTGTAATGTAAACTACTCTAGGTGTATTCTTCATCAATTCAATCTATGCTTGTTTACATCTATAAATAGTAAATTAACTTCATCACCTTATTGAATTTCATTACGCTTCCAATGAATCATAAAAACATACAATTGAAACAATTTATTGCGTTCAATTGTATATAAATCGTTCCGAAATTGTATGCGTATAGGATTGTGCCTGTATGCCATACACACAGTAATTTACACTACAAGTCGTTATTACATATAAAAAAGCTCACAAGATTCTACTCGCCAATATCGTTGACTGAACACAGCTGATTCAAGAAGTACGGACCTTTTACAATGGAATCCTCAACGATTGGAGCGTCGATCGCGACTGTACCACAAATATATCACGTCATACGTCCCCCAAAACACTCATCGGAATCCCACAATCAGTCGGCGCATCCGCTCCTAATCTGTGCACGGGAGCGTTCCTGCGGCGCTCCTAGGCGTGCAGCTGTCGCCCCATCGGAGTGACGTCTTCTGCGAAGGGCTGTTCCTGGTCCTGAAGCTTAGGCCGCACATGAGCGCGCTGCCAGCGGGAGTCCACAGCACGCGTTACGTAAGTCACATCGCGGGCGCACGTGCGGCCGAGTGACAGCGGCCGGGGAAGGCTGCGCCGGCCAGCGTGCCAGATCGATCCTCTGACGTCATTGGCCGCCCGCACGGAGCCGCCGCGCATGCCCCGCACCTCCCACTCCACCCACGCGCCGATCCCTCGACGCCTACACAGAGGTTACCGTACATCGCTCTATTACTAGCAAGGCGGAAGCTTCCTTCTGATAAGCGCCCTGCCATAGCTAACGCAAGCTTCTTTCGAACCGAATGGACGATTGTAGGCGTTGGACTAGTATCAGAGTGGCACCAACTCGTTTCTCCATTGACAAATTGATTGATGGTGGCTCTGCAATGGCCGCCCCGTCTGCCTGGATAAAAATAGCCTCAGGCCTCCGAGGGATTCAGAGGCGTCGTCCTCGTGCTTTGTTACGTTAACATGCTATGCTGCTCTCATCGTGCTAGTTATAAAGCATAAAAACTATCACTGTGCTTTATATTTAACTGATTGATTTGTTAGTGTTATGTAAATCAACAGTTAAGGTGTAGTCTATACTTTATTTCACGCGTTTATTAAAATTCCCGTAATTGAATGTCACCGTAACAGACCTTAAGGTGTTACACTTAATGTCAGTTCCCAAACATCAAGAACGGCGAAAACGGCGTAATACACGTCGTACTTAGATAACATTTTCTCAATCCTTGAAAAACTCGTTCAAATATTTTGAAAGCGTGTAACATTATTCAAACGAGGGGACGCGCAGTAAGGGTTGGCTTAAGAACATCCGTCGAGAGCAATCTTTTGACGGATGCGTCGTGTTCCCAGGGGATGAGGAAAGTCGGGGGATATGGCAAGAATTACGGACTGGATCCTATTTTACCCAACATTGATAAAAAAAGGTATTAATAAAAAAAATCTTTCTCCCTCCACTTTCTTCGTTACAGTCGTTCAACTGATTGGTTTAAACTATCTGAATTGATCAGAATGATCTTTTTAATGATCAGAATGATCTTTTTAATGATCAGAATGATCTTTTTAATGATCAGAATGATCTTTTTAATGATCAGAATGATCAATTCAAAGACAGATTGACAAGTATAGTAATCATTTATTTATTTATCGTAGTCTGGAACGACCACCCACTAGATGGAGTACGACCTGTGCAAATGTGCGGTAAATAGATGGATACAGGTGGCTCAGGGTTGTGTTCGTGGCAGTCAGTGAGAGGCTTATGTCCAGCCGTGGACTCTAGCATTGCTGATATGATTGTGATGATCATTTATTTGATCCTTGGCTTAGTGCAAGCTAATAAATGAGCCAGCTTGCAAGCCAGCTAAGTCAGCTTCTGTTACACGATGGACAGGTTTGTCCGGAAGTACCACAGCGTAGCAGAAGTTGAGCATGATTTGGAAGCGCCCGTGGACTACAACTAAGCTACTTTACATTCGGTGTGAGGAGTTATTTTGTATTACAAGACGGATCCACTTGTTAATCTAGTCTACAAGCTACAAATGTCCATTCAAATCAATTCAACTCTTGCGGCATATTGGCGGATGAGAGTATATAACAATTTCACAAATCGCTTTGAAAGAGTCATTCTTAATTGTAAAAGGGTTTTAATTTTCTATTAGATTACAAAATACATAAAGTTGGAGAATATTCAAGGCTCAGAGCAATGTTCATTAATTAATATTAAATGAACAGACGATGAAAATTCCACAATGGTTTTTGCCATAGTCTCAGCGCCGTAATACGCCTCTTGTAAAGCGAGGCCCTCGTGTTGTTGACGTCAAAGTCGAAAGGGTCTCCCACCGATCGTTAGGCCACATCACACTAGGTCACAGAAACATTACTCCTTTCCGCCTTGCATGCTCGATTTTATACTTAAATACTTTTGTGTATATACTTAAATAATTCAAAGAAAAAAATGACCGCAGAGTTTCTTTTGTGAACCGGTGGTAGTTTTTGACGTTCAATAAAAACTTAAAAAACGGCTTTGTTGAATAAGGAAATTGTGGCATTGATTGGAAAGCTGGGGCTTTCCATGTACTTCCATATTAATTTCATTGGTATTGGATCTTGAGCTCCGGAGATACTTAGGGAAATCCTGAAAATCAATTATATGATGAATACAGAGCGAGATATTTGATGTCAGTTTTGTTTTTAGTTAATAATTCTAGCTGCAGTGTATCAGAAACCTAGGAGTTGAGGTTTTTCTTTTGCCCTATTCAAGTTCGAGTGCTCTTCACTCGCCTTCGCAACGGAAAATTTCAATACTTCTGTTCATTTATTTTTCTATTTTTATGTTTTAGACCTATAATATTGATTTATTTAGTTTCAGTTAAAAGGAAAGAGCTTGTCAACCGTTTTAAAAAGAAAATGTAATGGTTAGCTTGATTTCATTATATACCCAGAGTTAAAAGAAATAAGAAATAATAAGGACATATATTAATAACTAATGTACTTAAATTAAAGTGCTAATTTGCAAAAACGTCAGGTTAACATCGCATCAAGTGATTATTACTTCATAATGTAATCATTACTTACGTTTATTTATTCTAAAGCCATCGATTTTTTTTTCTAAGTTGTCAATTTTTTTTGGGGCTTTTCGTTTTGTTAGTGTACACATCAACAATAAAAATAATGAAACATAATACTTTGATCCGATATTATACAGTTCACATATTGAAACTTAGAAATATTGTTTTAATTTAAGTGTTATTTCAGAACTAATTCAGTGACAAAAAAATCATAAAAATCATGATCAATTTTCCTTTTTTATATAAAAAAGAAAGTTTCGATTCTTTCGGCCAAAAACCAATTAAAAATTTTATTGATTTAGACGGCCATCTTGATTAAACTGTCACTATCGATGCTCTTTTGAGCGGGGACAGTTTTTTCAATTTAATTTTCTCAATGTTTTAACAAAATTTAGCGCGAAAATACAGACAATAATCCGTTATTTTTAATTTTATTATGATCTTGGTAAAACTTCTATGAAAATTATTGAGTAGCGTCAAGATAGAAAATCTACGAAAATGCATGACAAGGTTTGGGATTTAACATATTAATTTAAACCATTGCTTGATATAAGAGGCAATTCGATAATACCATACGAAATCTATGAAGATATAAGCTTTTCCAAATTTTTCCTTCCATTTTCTAAGGATTCATTTAACGTCTACTTAGCGACAGATCAGAGGGAAGTACAACCCAATGATAATGAATTGTCACAATAGCAGAATGTACTTCTGTCCGGTGCCATGCGAAGGCTTCCCATCTATGAAGGACGATATCATGATTAGATAACTGGATTTTGTACGTAACAAAAAGACTTGAAAAGGATATAAATAATAAAAATAATAAAATTATGAAAGCGCCATCTACATTCTTTATTGGGAACTGTAACGGGCGAATATGATTGAGAATATGCTGCCATCTATAAAAAAATAAGCGGTTTAGCGGGGGCAGCTTCAAAGGTGTTACTTTTGTGTTACAGTGATGCGCGCGCATCTTAAAATTTCACTCTCATAATTTTTCATAACGCGCCTAAAGAAGTATAACTTCAAAAAAACTATTTGTGTACTAATGACATTAACAATTTTATTCAATTAATAGTAGAAATCATTAAAGTCGCTATTGCTTTAATAATGAACAAATGCCCGGCTTGTTGTGGGTTTAGTGTTTGTCACATTTGACGGTGCTCTGTGCCGCAGATCGTGCGCCTCGCCGACGTATGGAAGACGTGCAACAAGATCCGCGCGGCGGCCTTCCGCGTGGGGCTCAACTTGTGGGACTGGTATCGACCGCTCGACCCCACCGGCAACTGCCTCTTGTCGGGTACTCGCAAAATATCATTGCTTGAAGATTTTTCGCCAATATACAGCGGGTCTTGACAATCGCGACAATAAATGAACACACATATATAGGGGATAACTTTTTAAAATTGTATTAAACATTTCCATTCTTTAAACATCAATATTTACAGAGTTATTAAGTTTTCCAAAACAAAGAAGTTTAGAACACCCTTACCTATAAAACTGTATTGTAAAGGTCACAAAGCATATGAATGGGTTGAATGAATTTAAAAGAGACAAAACATACTGTTAGAAGGAGAGGCTTGTAATGCGACGCTGTGGCGCGAGTTGTATAGGATGTTAGGATGTTACAAATTTTGTTTCTTTTTTACTTAATTAGTTTGTTTGAAACATATTTTTTTAAATTATGGATTTTGTTTAAAGTTAATATTTTTTTATGATTACTGGCAAGTAGCGTTAGACGTGTGTTCATTTATTGTCGAATGGTAACGACACGCTGTATAGCTGAATAGGCGCAGAGATCAACCCTCAGTACTGAAAAATATTATATCAATCAATCAATCATTTTTTTTTTATGTGAATCATTTATATTTATATTAAGAACATAGAACGCTATTATTGTCTGGATATGACTACAACTTTTGAAAGAAAATTGTTAGTTTATTTTTAGTACAAGAAAAAATTATTTATATGTTTACGATATATATTTATGCGTTCAATGCGAGTCGGTTTTAGGCTTGTGATCAAGTTTCCAGTTTTTATGGTTCTTATTCATCCCCAGTTTCATTTAAATCTCTTATCATGAAATCCTTTTTTTGTTGTGAATTAGTTCCGTATAAAAAAACAGAAGTTTTTCTGCTGTTACGAAATAACGCATTATTTGTAGAGTCGAAGTTCGTGTCGATCCTCGCGGGGCCCCTGCGCTCCGTGATCGGGCTCTCGGACGACGAGATCTCTCAGCTGGCGGACTACTTCCGCGCCCAGGACGGCCGGATACTCTACCACCAGCTCTGCCAGATCATACACGGAGAAGGTGAGCTGTTCTTCTTAGTATTTGTTCTTCGACAAGATAATGATGAATAGAATATCCATGGTGGCCAACAGTAATGGCAGTGTGACGATCGCATCGCAAATGTTTTTTTTAATGTGAAATGTTGCCAAGCGATCAGGCGGTTCACCTGATGTTAAGTGAATACCGCCTCCCATGGACATCTGCTACATCCGAGGGTTTGCAGATGCGTTGACATAAATAGTTATGACACGTTAAACTTTTCATTATTCTAACAACAAAAATTGGTTATGTCTTGTTTGATTGCTATAATTTGTTACTTTAAACCGAGTTTCTTTGCTTTGAATGTTTCCTGAAACGAGTTTAATAACTTCGCGCAATATGAATTATCATTTAATTATTGCGTTTAATTTTTTCATAGTACTCTGAGTGATTATTCTATACCAATATATATTCAACAGCAACTAGAATATTCTACAAAATTCACCTCATTTAATAAAAATTCGTTTTAAAATGTATATTCTACAAATAATGCAAGTAATAGAAAGTAGAATAATTACATTTAAAAAAATCAGTAAAAATCGCACTAAAAACTTTTCTTTTTGCGAGGAGCTTCTTCCAAGCGATTACTGACCTGGAAGTAGTATGTTCAGCATTTACCATATGGAAATTTTGAGTCATGAGTCTTTTAATAAAGTAGGCCCCGGCCCACTTTGTTAAAAGGTGGCAACGCATCTGCGACCCCACGGTTGTTGCAAATGTTGTTGCAAATGTTGTACATGGGCGGCGGTTATCACTTAACATCGGGTGAACCACCAGCTCGGTAGCGAACACAAAAAGGAGTCGTTATAATGTTGGCCAGATGGCGGCGACCGCGGCCGCACCACGGCGGACTGCCTCCTGGAGGCGTGCCCGCCACCGCCAGAGCCCAACTGCCACAAGCTGGACCAGTGGCAGACGCGGCGGCTGTGCTGCCTCCTGGCCACCATCGCGCAACGGGACCTGCCCCTCCGCCCCTACTTCCAGGACTACGAGCTCGTCAGTCTTACGAACATGTGAACACTAGTTTAGTTAGCAAGTGACGCGTTAGCTCTATGACGCGGCCTGAATGCCGCTACCAGTGATTGCCAGGAAAGCAATTATAGAGTCCCAAGTTTCACCCTAGTAATTGGCACCGAGAAGAATAAATAAATACAAATAAATAGTCCCAAACTAAGCAACTCTTGTACTATGGACAAGATAACTGATAAATACAATTAAACATATTTTTCTTTTGTAAATACATATTATACATATGTAAACACCCAGACACCGGAAAAACATTATGTTCAACACACAAAATTTTTCCAGCAGTGGGGATCACACCCACATCCTCTGGCACAAGATGCAGCTTAATTACCCACTACGCCAATCGGCTAATTTAAAATACAGTAAAAAAGTTTGTTATTGCTGCAACGCAAAACATGAACGTGAATTGAACCTTCAACAAGAGTTTAAATCTTATCAAAAAATAAACATTCTATTGAATATAAAAGCATCACCATGTAATTCCAGTTGGAAAAGAGCAGACTTTCAATGCTACAATTTACTATTTAAGTAACTGAACTTTAATTCATAACCGTCTTGTCAATATTATTATGCGGTGACACAGAAGTTTGTATGCTTCAGGTGGCTAAAAACGACGGACGCATAACATTCGCCCACTTTGCTCGCATCCTGAACTTTGTGGGGATCATCCTCTCGCCCGAGGACTTCAATCTGCTCGTGCGCCGTTTCATCAAAGACTCCTACACCCTCGACTACGTGGAGTTCCTCAAAGCCGTCGAGGCAGTGAAGAAGGAAGGAATACGAGGCTTGGGGCCTGTAAGCGAATTTACTGTTAACTGTAGACTGAGTTTATCCCCAAGTCTCTTTTTACCAAAGTTTATCTAGTGAATTACTAACAGCTCCCGAAATGTTAGAGATTGAACATGAAAATATATAAATATTTCAATTAATAAAGTAAACAGAGTTTTTCAAAGCTATGTTATTATGAAATATTGAATTAACCTCACATGTCGACTACGAAAATGTAATCCGGTCATGAAAGGCTACATAATCAGTCGATATCTAACAATAAATATAAACGTAAATCCACAACAACAATTTCTACTTCTTCTACTCCCAATTAGGAAAAGTTGAAACATCAGCAAGAGATTAAAACATGCAGAAAAACATTGATCTTTGAAATTCCTTCAACACAAAAGCGAATGTTATCCTAACAGGCCTTCCATTCCTCTAACCCCAAAGCAAATGTCATCCTGACAGGCCTACCATTCCCATAGCCCCAAAGCAAAAGTTGCCGTGACAGGCCTAACATTCCCCTAGCGTCAAAGCGAATATTATCGTGACAGGCCTATCAGCACCCGGGCGCGGTGATAGACACCACGCTGCCGAAACAGTCGCGGCCGGAGATGGAGGCCGGGCGGCCGGGAGCCCTGCTGGGCGGCGAGGCCTTCCATCCGGCACTCCAGCCGCCCAAGCCCACGCGGAACCTGCTGGATATCATGCTGAGGGTGCAGCAGTTCGTGATGCAGAGGCGCGTCAGGGTTTCAGAGTTCTTCAGGGTCAGTGCTGGATCTTATTCTTATGACGACTCCGACGCTGGGCTATGCGGACACTGGATCTTATTCTTTTGATGTAGACTCGATTGAACAACTATCTTTTAGACAGACAATTGTTTCGGATCTGGGTGATTGTTCACGTGTTTATGTAATACGTCCTTACAACGCAGGATAATGATACTAAGTAAGGCAATGTTTATAAAAATAAAATGAAAATAATGAATTCATTATAATTAAAAATTTTATAGTGCTAATCTCTGCACTTAAGATTGAACATTAAATTTGTAGAAACTGTACGAAAAGATTGTCGCCGCTGTGGAAATCGAACCCACTTCTTTCGCGGCCTTTGACGCTTTAGCCACTAAGCTAGCATTTGAAGCAATGCTTTCTTTCGTACTTTTGCTTAATTTCATACTGTTTCTACAAATTTAATAAATAAAATTTGTTTGAGCCATTTGATATAAGCATATGTAGAAGCAAAGATTGGAATCTTAAAGACGCGGGTTCAATTCCTAATAACACGCAGAATTTTTTTTTTTAATGTGAACTAATTTTGCTGCATGTCTTTTTTCTACGCGAGAAGATTTTTCTATGTGTTAATTGACGGTAATCACGTAACATCTGTTGAACCAATCACCAGATGTTACGTGATTACCGTCGCTAGTGGACATCTTATTGCATTAAAAAGGTGTATCTTCCCAACTGTCAATGTTCAGTAGCAGTGTTCTCTAGTTCCGATCCACGTAAGATTCCTTCTTTATCATCATAGTCGTCCCCACAAATAAATTCGGTACTGAATGCACTAGCTCTATCAAAGTTCTATGACGGATTATTCCTGTACCTTAAAACTCACTTTCTATTTCAAATTCAAATTCAAAATATCTTTATTCACATAGACACTATCATATGTTCATCTGAAACGTCGAAATACATAAAAATGAATAAGCTATAAGTAAGCTACCACCGGTCCGGAAAGCAGTTTCTGTCGAGAAGAAACCGGCAAGAAACTCAACAGTTGCTCTTTTTTTAATCTTTTAAAAAAGTTTACAATAGTAGAGGTAAAAGTCTTATTTTAACCTGCGTGAGTATCAACAGTATTAATTCCGCACATTGGCGTCGTCAAGATATTCCGCAACGGTATAATATGCCTTAGCTTTAGTCACTACATAGTGTAAAACAAAGTCGTCCCGCTGTCTGTCTGTCCCTATATACGCTTAGATCTTTAAAAGTACACAACGGATCGTGATGCGGCTTTTTTACTAGATAGAGTGATTCAAGAGGAAGGTTTATATGAAGCCGGGGCGGGTCGCTATTATGGTATATTCCTGCGTAAATGAACCTGTCCACTGCGATCGGGCCGAGCTCAGGTCGTTGCTCCTCGCCCAGGACTACGACCCGCTGAACAGCGGCCGCATCGGCCGGCGCCAGTTCCGGCGCGCCCTGGACTCCATGGGGCTGGGTTCGATTCTGTCGGACGCGGAGGCGGCCTGCGTGCTGCGCCACTACACGGACCCCAATGATGATGAGCGCGTCTGCTGGCGCACCTTCGAGGACGACTGCGACCAGGGTTGGCACTTGATTGTTTGTAATGATACCGTGATTTTTTTTTTCATGTTTACAAGTGGAGTATTCGAGGACGACTGCGACCAGGGTTGGCACTTGACTTTTTGTGACGATACCGTAAATTTTTTTTTTTTTTTTTTTTTACATGTGGAGTATTCGAGGACTACTGCGACCAGGGTTGGCACTTGATTGTTTGTAATGATACCGTGATTTTTTTTTTCATGTTTACAAGTGGAGTATTCGAGGACGACTGCGACCAGGGTTGGCACTTGACTTTTTGTGACGATACCGTAAATTTTTTTTCATTTTTACATGTGGAGTATTCGAGGACTACTGCGACCAGGGTTGGCACTTGATTGTTTGTAATGATACCGTGATTTTTTTTTTCATGTTTACAAGTGGAGTATTCGAGGACGACTGCGACCAGGGTTGGCACTTGACTTTTTGTGACGATACCGTAAATTTTTTTTTCATTTTTACATGTGGAGTATTCGAGGACTACTGCGACCAGGGTTGGCACTTGATTGTTTGTAATGATACCGTGATTTTTTTTTCATGTTTACAAGTGGAGTATTCGAGGACGACTGCGACCAGGGTTGGCACTTGACTTTTTGTGACGATACCGTAAATTTTTTTTTCATTTTTACATGTGGAGTATTCGAGGACTACTGCGACCAGGGTTGGCACTTGATTGTTTGTAATGATACCGTGACTTTTTTTCATGCTTACAAGTGGAGTATTCGAGGACGACTGCGACCAGGGTTGGCACTTGACTTTTTGTGACGATACCGTAAATTTTTTTTTCATTTTTACATGTGGAGTATTCGAGGACTACTGCGACCAGGGTTGGCACTTGATTGTTTGTAATGATACCGTGATTTTTTTTTCATGTTTACAAGTGGAGTATTCGAGGACGACTGCGACCAGGGTTGGCACTTGACTTTTTGTGACGATACCGTAAATTTTTTTTCATTTTTACATGTGGAGTATTCGAGGACGAATGCGACCAGGGTTGGCACTTGATTGTTTGTAATGATACTGTGATTTTTTTTTCATGTTTACAAGTGGAGTATTCGAGGACGACTGCGACCAGGGTTGGCACTTGACTTTTTGTGGCGATACCGTAAATTTTTTTTTCATTTTTACATGTGGAGTATTCGAGGACGACTGCGACCAGGGTTGGCACTTGATTGTTTGTAATGATACCATGATTTTTTTTTCATGTTTACAAGTGGAGTATTCGAGGACGACTGCGATCAGGGTTGGCACTTGATTGTTTGTAATGATACCGTGATTTTTTTTTCATGTTTACAAGTGGAGTATTCGAGGACGACTGCGATCAGGGTTGGCACTTGATTGTTTGTAATGATACCGTGATTTTTTTTCATGTTTACAAGTGGAGTATTCGAGGACGACTGCGATCAGGGTTTGCACTTGATTGTTTGTAATGATACCGTAAATTTTTTTTCATTTTTACATGTGGAGTATTCGAGGACGACTGCGACCAGGGTTGGCACTTGATTGTTTGTAATGATACCGTGATTTTTTTTCATGTTTACAAGTGGAGTATTCGAGGACGACTGCGATCAGGGTTGGCACTTGATTGTTTGTAATGATACCGTGATTTTTTTTTCATTTTTACAAGTGGAGTATTCGAGGACGACTGCGACCAGGGTTGGCACTTGATTGTTTGTAATGATACCGTGATTTTTTTTCATGTTTACAAGTGGAGTATTCGAGGACGACTGCGATCAGGGTTGGCACTTGATTGTTTGTAATGATACCGTGATTTTTTTTCATGTTTACAAGTGGAGTATTCGAGGACGACTGCGATCAGGATTGGCACTTGATTGTTTGTAATGATACCGTGATTTTTTTTCATGTTTACAAGTGGAGTATTCGAGTACGACTGCGACCAGGGTTGGCACTTGATTGTTTGTAATGATACCGTAATTTTTTTTCATGTTTACAAGTGGAGTATTCGAGGACGACTGCGATCAGGGTTGGCACTTGATTGTTTGTAATGATACCGTGATTTTTTTTCATGTTTACAAGTGGAGTATTCGAGGACGACTGCGATCAGGGTTGGCACTTGACTTTCTGTGACGATACCGTAAATTTTTTTGCATTTTTACATGTGGAGTATCGAGGACGACTGCGACCAGGGTTGGCACTTGATTTTTTATAACGATACCATGTTTTTTTTCCACGTGTACGAGTGGAGTACCTCACAAGACATGGCATGTGGCCGACTTTAACCTGATGTTAAGTGATAACCGCTGCCCATGGAAATTTGCAACACCCATAGGGTTGCAGATGCGTAGCCACCTTTTAACAAAGTGGGCCCCGGCTACCACACTCGCCGTATAAAACGCAGACAAACACTTCCATTTCACGCCGTTCTTCTGCTTTTTCGCTAAAGAAGTATGACTTTTTACGTGCGTAAATAAGTACACACAATCGTTTCTCTCTTCAAAAACTACGTACTCTCATGGTGGATTTACAATGAAACAGTATATTTAAATATATTTGTATAGTGCAAAAAGCCCTACTTTCACAATGGCAAATCAGTAGCACAAAAATTCCAATTCACACAAAAATTTGCTTAAATGAAAAACTATATTCTAGCTTCTTGATCCTCTTGCCAATATTGCTGCCCAAAATGTATAATCTATAATCTAATGTATAATCCAAAATATATTAATCACTGTATATATTAATAGCTGTTTCTTTGACGGCATGTTATGAAAGATTTTGATAAAGAAAAAAATTCAATTCTGTTAAAAAAAAATCTATATCTAGCTGTCTATAGTCTTTTTATAGCTGGCCACAAAATAAGCTTAGACGTCTACAATCATGGTGATTATCGACATGTTCTCCGCGAGGCAGTGTTCACGATCAAGGAGTTGGAGAAGCACCCGGACGTGCGGCCAGGGGCGATGGCAGCCGCGCTGGCGGAGCTGCCACCGCCGGGCTCTGCCACCGAGGGGCAGCTGGGCGGCCAGGAGCTGGACCTGGCGGAGGCCGCCTTGCTGAGGATAAGGGCCGCTTGCAACCAACGCGCGGTGGACCTCAGGCCTATCTTCGGGGATTACGACCCGTGAGCAAGATCTACTCGTATATGCAATTTGTGTTTATTTTTACTTACTACACAGATTTCAAATCACATCATTTGCATAATCTAAGTCAACAACTATTAATAATTTTATGTTATTCATGTTATGAATAAATACGTTCTCTGTTAATTTAGCATAATTCATAAATAATGTAAATACATAAGTCAGCCCGCTCAGAGCCTTTTTAGTGAGCCGGTTGTCATGCATAGACAAAAGTGAACACTAAACACATGTGTATGTCGCTGAACTCGTCCTAAACGGCTGAACCGATTGATAAAGTTTTTGTGTTTCTTCCGGTCGATTCGAGCATGGTTTAGTAGATTTACATTTTTTTAAGTTATCCGATTTAAGTCGTGTGTACTGGACAACGTCTGCCCAGTCCGCTAGTATAATATATAACTATCCCCCCCCCCCCCTCCCGCAAAGTCTGCGCAGCGGCCACGTGTCCCGCAGCGCTGTGCGCAGCGCGCTGAGCCGCGCCGGCGTGCTGCCCCCCCCTCGGCAGCTGCGCGCCCTCGAGCTGCGATACCTCGACGACTGCGGATTCAACTTCTTCTCGCTACTAGGAGACGTACGACTCACTATATGTACACGGCAACGGCCGACGCTTTACACATACATATTAGTAGGACCACGACCATTTCACGACCCGAATGGTGTAGTGTGTAGTGTAAACCTCCTGCGCCAGAGGCTGTGGGTTCGATCCCCACTACTGGAAAAATATTGTGTAATGAACATAGTATTTATATAGTGTCTGGGCGTTTATATATATATATATATATATATATATATATATATATATAATATGTGTTTATTTACAAAAGAAAAGTCTGTTTAAGTATGTTTATCAGTTAACTAATACCCATAGTACATGCGTGGCTTGGTTTGGTAAAATGTGGCCTAAATATTTAAAAAAAATAAGCTAGTTCAAGAATGAGCAGGTCCATCCGGGGAAGTACCACGGCCTCACAGAAGACCGGCATGAAGTACGTTGAGACAGTACACTACAGTATGTTACGAGAGATTCGGGATCAGAATGAAATGCCGATGGCTTAAAACTTAGAGACCCCTTGATACCGTCCAAATCCTTCACTTTACTAACTACAAGTGCGACGGTTCTCACGTTATCGCACCAATCCTCTTTATATAACCTTTACACTTCTTCTCACTTGCACTGCACATTCCGCTACACTTTTCTTCTTCCTCTTCCTTCCTCTTCGAGTTCCTCTACTGAACCCTTTTTATAGTCCGAATTTCGATCCCCTTCGCGTCTAAAACGTTCTGGAAACGATTTGAATTCCGATTCAATTTGTTTTTAGAGAATTTTCTGGAACCAGGGCGCGAATTCCATCGTCTCTTTCGTCGTCCAATACTGATTAATCATTATGGGACCACATGGGAGCAAAGGCGAACCAAATGCAGAAATAATTTTAAAAATCGATTCTTAAACGACGAATTTGTGACATAAGTACACCGGAATTTAGAACCTCTTACTTTTTAGAAGTCGAACAACCAGTGTGAACCGAACCAAATCGACAGAAAGAGCCATGTTCTGGTCTATCGTTTAGTTGGAGGAGCATCCTGAGGAGAGTGCGGTGGTGGGAAGGGCGCCTCCGCCGTCGAGCGCCCCCCCACCCTCCGCGCACCCTGACCACACTGACATCGTCCAGATCCTCGCCAAGATCAAGGGAAAGGTACAGTTCGTGGACAATTGCAGGGCAGGATTTCGCATCCAGCTTGGAGCGTCATGTTAAATTGATTATGAGTGTTACTTATGGTACATGGCTTGGTAAATGGCGTTTAGCAATTAAGCTAGCATGAAATTCATTTATAAGCGTATATCTAACAGAAATCGACTAATAAACAAAATTTAAATGCGAGTTTATCGCTTATTTCCGTTTCGAAGAGCGGACTGACTATATCTTCCTGAAGAAAACGATGTTCTCATTCTTAATCATGACAATCTCATTGAAAGTCAGTTTCTTGCTTTTAAAAAAACGGTGATTTATAAATCCCGGCACCAGTGAAATTATTAATTTTAATTCTGACATCAATTGCTTAGCGGTGTAGGAAAACAGCGTACAGGTGTAGACAGCTGCATATTTTTGAAGCAATAATAACAAACACAATATTTCGAAGATATATGAAGTCCGCCACTCCGCAGTAGAGTAGCGTAGTGGATGCCCTCTACTCTAGAATAGTATGTTACTTTACTCGACGTTATAGGTTATCAACAATCCCTTAGATTGAGTTAACAACAAGGTAGGTAACGTCATTTAAAATCTTACCTCCTTCAGTCTACAATCCCTCAGCATGAGTCAATGAGAAGAGAATTTCGTTCAAAGTCAGAATCTGATGAAGGGTATTTGTCCAAAAAATAAAGATGGTCCGCGAAGGGGTGCGGCCGCGCGACTTCTTGGAGCAGTTCGACAAGCAGAGGGAGCTGGTCATCCCGCGCGCAGACTTCTACCGGGGCCTCGCATCGGCCGGCTTCTCCCTCAACCCCCTGGAGATGGACACGCTCATGGAAGTGTCAGTGCTAATCTCCAACTCACTCTCGTCATCACCCCACGACATCGTCAAACAGGGCGGAATACTTATGGAGCGTTATTAAAATGACAATGGCTTTTTTACGCGAGAAGGTGGCAAGCGAGCTGGCGGTTCACCCGATGTTAACTGATAACTAAGACCGTAGCGTTGAAGATGAGTTGCCACCTTTTAATAATGTGGGCCCTAGCAACCTCGCTCACCAAACGAAACGCGAACAACAAAGAAACACTGAGGTCTCTCTGTGGTACTCCCCCCGACGGCCTTTTTTACCGTGGGAAAAATCCCTTATGGATCCCCTGCCACTGTATCAGGGGGATGCCGTCTTAACCTGTCACCATTTTGATTTAACTATAGTGAGCAGAACTAGAGCTCGTGAGATTTTATGCTGAATAGAGATTTTTTTGATGTCAACTGCTTTATTTATAACATATACAAAATTTCTCGGACTTCTGTCGAAGGATGTCAGGGACGTTTTTTATAATTAAAAAATCAGATGAATATTACCTTAAGTGAAATGAAAAGCATAAAGTGGGGAGCTCGCTTAAAGTACCAATTTATTAAGGTCGTTTCAATGATTAGTAAGTCTACATTATATTCAATACAACAGTAGGGTGAAATTTATGTGTTGTAAAATATATGTTTATTAAGAAGCAGAAACTTCTACTGTTGCTGAAAAATTCAGATGGGCAAGTATGGCTCCACACGAGAGAATTGTGTTTTTTATCCGATTCAACACAACTGCCGTTCCTAGTCTGGCTGGCCAACCGACCCCATGCATCCATGGGCGTCGGTAAGAACATCAGGTTAACCACATGTGCCGTATGCGTTCAACTGTTCAGAGCTTGTTCCGATTAACGACTGGGGAACTTAGAAAGCAAGGACAAGGAGAACTGAGCACAATCCCAAACTCTGCAGTTTTGCCGCGCCAACACGCCGAAGGTACATAGAGTACGATCGGTTCTGCGCCACGGTGGGCGAAGCCTTAACTCAGGGCGGCCTCGAGAGGGCGCCGCTGCTGCAGCCCATCGCGCACGCCCCCCCGCCCACCACCAACAACTTCCTCAACTTCGAAGAGCGCAACATGGTGGCGATTGCCCTGGATAAGCTGGCCAAGCACCACGACCAGGTTTCCAACATCCTCGAGGTGTTCAAGGTAGGTCAAAGTATCGGTCGGTTACTTCCCATTTTCAATTTGCTGCAATATTACCGTATTAATTTTTTACCGTCAAGTCCCCCACTGCACAGGATAATAGAGCATATGTACAGTCGCGTGGCGTCGGTCCAATGGTATTTATGGGCATGATAGCATGGTTGTTGGGCGTGGTGCCGGTATTTGCGGGGGTAACGGCTGTGCCGGATACTTGGTGTCATCAAACAAATGTAAATGCGACATCGCCGCCCGTGGCAAGTAGAGCTGGGCGATGCATTGCTCTAAAGCGGCTTTGGCAAGAGGGTTCATCGGGTGGTCGCGTGAGTCGCAACCGCCTGGGCGAGTGGCAGTGCGTTGCAACGAGTGGCAGTGAGCGAGGGGCGGCGTGGGCGCAGGACGCGGACCGCGAGCGCTGTGGCAGCGTGCCCGCGTCGCGCGTGGTGCGCGCGCTCTGCCAGCGCGGGCTGCTGGCGCTGCTCTCGGCGCGCGAGAGCGACCTCCTCTGCAAGTGCTTCGCCCACCGGCGCGGCTGCGCGGACGAGGTAAGCTCGAGCAACAGTCTTCACTCAACAGAGCACCAATGGCCAAGTACGTCCGGATACAGTACGGGGTAGTACCGCGACCTCACAGAAGACCGGCGTGAAGTAGAGGTGTGAGATAACCTGAGCTCACTTTGTTCAAAAGTGGCAACGCATTTGCAACCCTACGGGTGTTGCTAATGTCATGGGCGGGGGTTATCACTCACCATCAGGTGAAACACCAGCACGTTTACCACTTTTACACATAAGATAAAAAAAATTGTACCCGGTCATAGGCCTCTTCCGCACAGATGGTATCGGGGCATAGTCCATCCCGGTGCACCATTGCGATTTCTTCAAATATCTTCGAAATCATTTTTTTTCACAACTGGGCACGTGGTGAGTAAGCACAAGTATAAATTTCGTTGGTGCCGGCACCGGGGATCGAACTTATATTCCTCGAGTATATTGAATCAAAAGCGTGCACCCGGACAGTAAACTATAGCGAAAGGCGAGTTGCTTTTCCTCATTTCCAGGCCAATCGCTGTCCCTCTACTAGTACAGTGACTTAAACGTACAATGAGATGCTACTCAGGCGAACGTCACATCATTACCTCTACGGATGAGGCGATGATGTGAAAATATCAGCGAAGGTTCTACTTTCTCTGTTACTGTCTTCAACAGCTACACGCAGAGACCATTATTTGCGCTTAGTTACTACTAAATTCGTTTAAATGTCAAAGGAAAGCTTTAATAAATATTCAACCCGAACTCCCGAAATCTAATTTTAAAACCTCGATGGGCGTAGTCGCTAAGCTACAAGCTGAGGCACCGTGGGTCAATTCTCACGAGAACAAGTGTTTGTATGACTTGTTTATGATCCGATTGTTTGTTCTCATTTACTTTCTGTTTGCTGTTATAATGTTTGTTATAATGCCTCTACGAAACAAGACTATGTCATCCCACGGTGAGAATAATTTTAATGAAATAGAAAGATATATTTTAATTCAAGTTAAGAACTAATTTTTGTCTTAGAATACTTATAAGATATTTGTATACCAAATGAGTTTATTTTTTCGCATTGTAATGTCAGGTGGACTACCGCGCGCTTTGCAATGCACTCGACCTGGTGCATGCGACATCCCAAGCGCAGCCCTGCTGACGGCAACATTGGAAATCAGACTTTTACATGCGACAATAAAAAATTTGAAGCAAATTTCATATGTCTGTCATTTGACTTAGCCACTGACTTAGCTGATGTGCCACTTAGAGTAAGTGGCACATCAGCATCTAATCGGCTGTACAAAAATTGTACTTTCAATTGTGTAGCATGTAAAGTTGAAATGAAATACCATATACATGTTGCATAAATGAAAATTTTGTTAGAATGGAAGAATTTATACCGTTTTAATTTGCTTTCTTTCTTTATATGCCATTATTGCAATATCGAGTTACAGTCCTGTCCTTAATGACACTCGCAAGATTAATGCAATTCCATTGACGCGTGACGCCCACCACATTTGAACTTTAAAGCAAAGGAAAAACATGCACAAAGGCTGACAACACGTTATCCTCTTTTGCGTCATGGAATGTGGACAAACAATGATATGCTTAATTGGGGGGAGGGAGAGTTGAAAGTAAAACACTCTATATGATCACAACTTTATTGCCGCCATCTTTGTCCTGGGCCGCCTCAATCCTTAATGTAGCGTCACGAAAGTGGTCAGCGGGTCTCTAGTTGTTGAGGGCCTTGTTGTGGTAGGGGGGCTTGCAACAGTGGTGGAAGGCGTTGTGGTGCTAACGGTAGAGAGGGCGCAGTGGGCGTTCTCAGGCCTGTCGCACACGTGCTCGGTGGGGTTGAAGTGGAGACCGTGGGGACACTCGCGGCAGACCGCCCAGTCGAGGGCGCACTGGTAGAAGAGGTGGCAGTCGTCGGGGTGGGGCATCAGCCGGTCTTCTCCCACCTCCGAGCAGGAGACGTCGGTTTTGGAGTTGAGGGAGCAGCGGTCCGTGATCTCGACGCGCGAGTCCAACTCGTCACTGGCAAATTAGTAACTGATTTAGCAACATATGGGTGTATACACGGTACATACACTAAAATATTTTGTCTGCCTGTCTATTTGTCTGTCTGTCTGTTTGTTCCGATTTGAACAGGACTCACTGGCAGATAGCTGATGTAATGAGGAGTAACTAAGGCTACTTTTATTTAAGAAATTTTATTTATTTTAAATCCACGCAGACGAAGTCGCAGGCGTAGCTACTCATCAATATATTTGTTTTATCAAGTCTGTTTATTTCCAGAAAGGCACTTCCTCAATATTAGACTTCAATATTATATTCTAAGAATTACGAAAATGACTTCAAATAATATCGATGAACGACGAAGGTTTTTTTTTAATAAATTTTTACCATCTAGGAAATAAACTTCATTAAATAGCTTTTTTTATTTAACGAATTTATTTTTGAATTACTGTTTATTTTTGCTCCAATAACTCAGGCTGTATTCCCAGAAAAATACGTTGAATTTTACTTGGTAAACGTACTACTCAGTAAGCTGATAGGACACATCGAATATGTTGTTTTTTTTTTCAACAGGCTTAGTAACAGGTCACAAACTAAAATATATACAAAGAAGTAATTTAGAGAACGCATACTCGTAATACACGAATCTTTAATCCACTTATAACTAAACACAACATTCACTAATCATAAAGCTAAAATATTATTATTTAAATAATTAAAATCTTTATAAAAGTAAAACTTAACTTATCAAGCGAAAAGTTACTTTACAAAGGCCGGGATATATTAAGGGCTATTTTTATGCCGTATTCAAAAGTTCCGAATACAAATGCAAATCAAATTGAAATATAAATGTAGAGCTTACGAAAGATGTCCGGGCCCAACGACAACCCTTCCGACGGCTACGCAAGCCCAGACACCGAGTAGTAAGAAGCAGGGGAGCCGATGCCGGTACTCCATGACGAATGCGGCTGTCTCAGTTGCAATAGTACAACGCCACAATATGCAACTTATAAAGCAACCGATAAGGGACTCTTTCTGACAATAAGTATTTCCAACAACTAAGATAATTCTCGAGGGCTCATTACTTTCGAGTGTCTGATAAAAGTTATTAGTTTTGCAAGAATTATTACAATCGCTTTCTAGATAAAACAGTTCATAAAAATCTAACTTTGTTTTTTTAAAAATGTTCATAAACGCATTTTATTTGCCTCTTCGCCTCTTCGTCCACCTCTAAATTCTTATTCAGTCGTTTCTCTTTAGATAGAAAAGGAAAAAACAATTGGAATTATTTGAGAACTGTTGCGTGGCCAACAGCTTCGGCCGTTGCACGAATGGGCAGGTCCATCCGGGTAAACCAAGACTTCACAGAAGACCGGCGTGAAGTGTAAGTGTTGTACTTCTGCGTTTCGTCTGGCGAGTGAGGTAACCGGGGCCAACTTTATTAAAATGTAGCAACGCATCGGCAATCCTTCGGGTGTTACATATGTCAATGGGCGGCGGTTATCACTTACCATCAGGTGAACCGCCAGCTCGCTTATCACCTTCTAGAAATAAAAAGCAATGTATCATGTGTAGGCTAGGCTACATGTCCCACTGCTGGGCAAAGGCCACCTTTGTACAGAGGGTATCAGGGCATCAATCCCGCGGCCCCACTGAGTGGAACGGACTTCAAATATCAGAAGTTTTTTCTTCAGAGTACGCAGTCAACACAATAAGCTCCTACGAAAATCGCAACTTTTGAGCTACGCGAGTGGCAGTGCCGTCAAAAGTTGCGCAGTCAAGTGACTCTACAGGATTTAAGTGGGCAAAGTTGTGTCATACCGGGTTCATCTGGGATAAAACGGGAACTTCAGCAAGGAAGAACTTTCCAGTAACATAAGGATCTCAAAAACAAATAACACCACCAGGAAGTTGCCGAAAATCTTTACCTGCCGGTGAAAGAAGATTCAAAATCCGTCAAGAATTGAGGAAGTTATCGGCGTCCGAAGTGCGAATAAAAACAACCTAAAACCACGTGCCGCATTGAACCACGCGGTGCGCACGCGGTATCTATCCGTGACTATCAGTGATGAAAGTACGTCACACGGACGTGACTGAAGACTCCGCAACCGGCTAGAGGAATCACCTAAGTCTCCGACTTGAAGCTGAAGCCTTCGCCATCTCAGCTCTAAGGTAAGCTTTGAGGGATCTTCTTGAAATAAAATCCCATTCCTCCCTTGTTTGGGTTCATTTAAACCAGAACTTGGAGACCTTACCATATACCCCATCCCCCAAAAATTATCCCCCCCCCCTCCACCAAAGTTTTGAACTCTCTAAACACCCCACGAAAGTCCCCCCCCCCCCCCCCCCCCTCCTCCCCCTCAAGGCTGCCTAACCCCCGCGGCCTATATCTCGGGAACCAGTTGAGACACACCCACCGTGTATGGGGTAATTTGAAAGAGGACAGGAGGACCTACAACTTGGCCCCAACAGAAACTACAAACCTTCGTGCTCAAAAGTCACCAGCGCCAAAATACACCAATAGCGGCAAACCGTCACCGTCGTACTCCGGCTGCAACATCGTGCAACTATTCATCGGCACAGCAGTGATAAATAAAAAAATAATTAAAAAACCTATGTATATATACAGCGTGTCGTTACCATCGCGACAATAAATGAACACACGTCTAACGCTACTTGCCAATAATCATAAAAAAATATTAACGTTAAACAAAATCCATAATAAAAAAAAAATTTTTTCGAACAAAGTAATTAAGTAAAAAATAAACAAAATTTGTAACATCCTATACAACTCGCGTCACAGCGTCGTATTACAAGCCTCTCCTTCTAACAGTATGTTTTGTCTCTTTTAAATTCATTCAACCCATTCATATGCTTTGTGACCTTTACAAATGAACTTTACATTACGCTTTTATAGGTAAGGGTGTACTAAAATTCTTTGTTTTGAAAAATTTTATAACTCTGTAAATATTGATGTTTAAAGAATTTAAATGTTTAATACGACTTTAAAAAGTTATCCCCTATATGCGTGTTCATTTATTGTCGCGATGGTAACGACACGCTGTATATCTTATAATGTCAGCATCACACAAATCGGCACCGCAGGTTTCCAAAGTGCCATCTCGGACCCAAAATCCTATTCCACCCCCCAGGGCCCCGCGATCACTGCGGGAAAAAGTTTTAAAAGAAACCACAAAGCAAAAACTGTCTACCAGTGACCGTGGCGACTCAACAATGACCTTTACCGATGCCCCGGACCCCAACAAAGTCTACCACAGCCGAAATTCCGAAAAGGGTAGATCGAGTCTATTGATAAACTCAAGCAGGTGGCTTGGCGTGGAGATGGATATGGCAACGCAGGAAGCCAATTAAATGCTCCTTAAGGGAAATGAGGCCCTAGAATACGCCGGAAATATGAAGACGGAGTGCAAGCAGACAGCACTCGAATGCTTGCAATCCCTCGACGAAATGGTTCTGGCCCTATCGGACTCCAGGTCCGGACACAAATATTACCCGGAGAAGGCGCACTCGCAGCGCACAAGAACTGATGCGAGTAGAGGGGCTGATAAAAGAACTGGCCTCAGATCTGGATAGTGCCAAAAAAGAATACCTTGACGGAGGCGAAAAACATACGCAACTGGCTGGACTTCGAAACGCAGGAGCCATTTAGAAAAATCGGTGAGATCCAGGGTGGGCTCAAAGAACAGGAAAAGCGGATCAAAGCTCTACAAGACTTTGTTAGAGAAAACGCAGCGGCCAAGACCTCTGTAAACATTTCGTCATTACAGAGCAAAGTGGACATCTTATCAAACAACACGAAGAAGACCTCAGGAAGCTAGTGGAGGAAGTATAAGGAGTTTTGGAAAGATTGCGTCCAAGGGGCTATTGGAGGACCGATCTTCTGGAACGTCATTCTGGACTCGCTGCCAAACCAACTCTCATCCACCTAACAAAATCCGAAGCAGACTGAATTTTATCCAGTTTTTGCACATTAATTAAATAATCATTCAACTGGTCTGCTAGCAGTTATAAATTTAATTTTTATTTAATTTTATAAATTAGAAATTCAGCATCAAAAGTCCAATTGTAGACAGCAACTAGATTGCCTGCGAAGGTAGAAAATGACGTCACTGCGGTCTTTGTTGACTAAAATATGCTAAATTTTGCGTCAATGATTAAAGTATTTGCATAAAGTGACACATGAGGTGTAAGAGTGACAGCGATATCTGAACTGTCATTGCGCACGTAACAATACTACAGAGAGTATAACTGAAACTCGCACCATCTGAATCCAACCGTAAAAAAACCATCATGAAATCTAGATAATTTTTGAAATCTAGCAAGGATCCCAGTGGCTCTACGGTATACTCTATTCAGTCGTCACGGGGTAAGGGTAATCGGCCATACGGCATAAGCATTCCTGAGACTCACAGATAGTTGTTGCGCATCTGGGTGTTTGTTCCCAAAGAGGGTTTAAATAATTTGAAGATACCGTTATTAATAGGCCGGCATACAATTATATGTACATAAAGTTAAAATGAATGAGGGGAACACTTGCTGTTTTTTTTAAATATCATCCGAAATGAAATAATAATCGACATTAACGAATTTGTAATAAAATAATGTCATGAGAGAAATCGTTTCTAAACTGCTTATTAAATATGAGAAGAGCATGTGTATTAGCATCAAATTTGCCTTTTGTTAAGCCTTAAGTTGGGTTGTAAACAATAAATTTTTAAATAAAAAAAATTTACAATTATGAGAACAACTACTTTTAAATAATTTCACCCTCTTTCTTCTACTCTCTCTCTCCGTCTACCCTACATTTCCTTTCCGAATTATAATACAAATGCCGGTACATATTTTTTAAATAAATGATAAAAGATGAAAAGAAATTTACCGCGAAATAAAGGCAAACAAGTGCGAGCGAAACCAGTTTTATTTCAAAATTTCCAAGTAATTCTCAGCCTATATCGATTTCTGATGACGGACGCTTGGAGCCTAGCCGGAGGGCAGTCGGCAGCCGGCCACCGAGGGGAAGTCGCAGACGTGTTTGACTGGGTTGAAGTGGAGGCCAGCGGGACACTCGCGGCAGATGGAGCGGTCGCCCACGCAGTAGTAGAACAGCTGACAATCGTCGGGGTGCGCCATCATCCTGTCGTCGCTCAAGCCGATACACTGCACCTTTGTCATGGTCTTTTCCGCACAACGTTTCGGGATGGAGTTGTACGTCTCCGCGTGGTCTCTGTTAAATGATAGATAACAAAGAATAAATAGTAATAATGAATATTTCAGGACATACTTCTACATAACGTTATCTAATACGAAACAAAGCAAAACATGTATGAGTAACTGATAAACGTACTCAAGTATGCTTTAATTTGTAAATAAATACGAATTCCTTGTGATATTTAGGACTAATTTATTCTAGCTGATTTATAGAGTTTAAATTACATAGCTATTATATCGTAGCTTAGAACCGACGAGCGGTGATAGATCAGTATCCGGGCGCTCGCCTTTAGTTTAATATACTCGAGCAACCTGAGTTCGATCCCCGGTCCCCGCACAAATGTAAATGTTAATTTTAAGTGCTGTCTTATTACGTGCTCAGTGGTGAAGGAAACCATCGTGAGGAAAGCTGCATATTTTCGAATAAAAAAAATGTGAGGGATATGTGAAGTGGGTGACTTCACATATCTGTACAAAGGAGGCCTTTGCCCAGCAGAGGGATACATGTACAGGCTGTTACTTTTTTTTTAGAATACATCTCCACAAAAAAAAATGAGAACGAGCATATATTCCATGGTCACGCAACAGTCTTCGCTGTTGCACAAAAGGGCGGGTCCGTCCGGAGACTTACCAAGACCCACGTAAGACCGACGTGAAGTGAAAGTGTTATACTTTTGAGTTTCGTCTGAAGGTATTGTAAATGTCCATAGGCGGTATTTCCACAGAACATCTAGTAAACAATCATCTTTCTCGACCATTTCTCACGTAAAAAAGCAATAGCTTGCGAAATATAGATTCAGTCGCTTTCATAAACACTGCTAGAATTTTAATATTAAAAAGTACACTATATGATCATAAGTAAGTGCGTAATTAGTACTTACGCTTGCCTGATATCGATGACACTTCCCGCTGCAATAGAGGCACAAACGCCTACAAGCAACAGACTTAAAAACAGACCGCGGCTCTCCATGCTGAACGATGCTCAGACTTAGTTCCAATAACTAATACCGTGCCTCGAAATTCGACACATTATATAGGAGAAGAATTACGTAGGCAATTCCAACGATTTAGATAATCCTCGAGAGCTTATTAAAATCCATGTTGTTTTCGAGTATCCGATAAACGATACAACCCAGTTTTGAACACTTGATTAAAATTTACTCGAATTTACATATTGGTTATTTGTCGCGTTGCGATCCTTTGTACATAGCGACAGCTTAAACAGAATAAATTATTGTTTCGTTTATTGTAAATGAAACATGGAAAGTTTTTGATGGTATTAGATATTTGGTGACGAACTTAGTTTAGTTTCTCAAATTATTATATGAAATTATTTACAAATAATCGATAATTTTTGTGGTACCTATTAAGGGCGAATATTTTAGACGGTTATTAAACAAGGTGAAATTCTAACTTAAATAGTAATGTTTGATTAAAAAAAATCAAAACACGCAAATTGGTAACTTAAATCCTTACCTACTTCTTGTAACTCTACTACGAGTAAATGTAGGTACTAAACGGTGACAGTAACGTATAATATTAATAACGGATGTGTAACTACAGCAAGACGTCCTACGAGTAATTCAACTATATCCAGCCAAATGGAGTCGGGCGTATGTGGTGTCTTTACTTCATAAAAATTAAAAAAGTTTTGCACTGATGTAACTATTGAAATAATTTACTTTGATTGCGATTATTTAATGCAAACTATCATTGCTTGCACCTGCCAAATAAAGTTTCTTTATTTACCGAATATATTTTCGGCAAAACATTTCCATATCTACGGAAACAAATACTTAACTAACATCGTGCCCTGGCCGCTCGTGACGAGGCGATAAGGCGTACCTAACCGCACTTTTCTCTGTGGTACCAGATGGATTACCTTCCTCTTTCATCGACGGACGACCTTCACGTGCGCGAAGCATTAATGCATTGTAGCCTAATATTATGTCCATTCTTAGTACCCCCTTAGCGAACAAAGGTAACCGACGTAGTTTAGAAGGTTAGTAAGCTGAAGTGGCGATGGGGCGGAATATAAGGCCATATTAGGGAATATAAGGCCATATTAGGGAATATAAGGCCATATTAGGGAATATAAGGCCATATTAGGGAATATAAGGCCATATTAGGGAATATAAGGCCATATTAGGGAATATAAGGCCATATTAGGGAATATAAGGCTATATTAGGGAATTGAAGGCCATATTAGGGAATTGAAGGCCATATTAGGGAACGTAAGGCCATATTAGGGAAGAAAGGTTCTCGAGTGACCTCGTACTGGCCATCGCAAGTGTTGGTTCAGGATCGTTCTTTTGGTCGAAGTTTATGTTAGTAAAACGTCATTACAACACAGGATAATGTTATACTCAAGAGGAATGTTCTTTTAAAAAAAACATCATCATATATGTTACAATTATTTTTGACCATAGACTTACAAATTTTAACTAAATGCCATTGTTGTATATCTATCTGCAACCACAGAAAAAGGCGAGAACACACATGTTGTCTGTGGCATCGAATGTTTTAGACAAAAATGGACAAAATGAAGATCAAGCCTGTCCAAGCGACGCCTATAACGATTGTTATTAGGATCACTGTTCTCCAAGTTGTGGAAGGTCCAACTGAAGTGGCAATGGGCTGGCTATATAACTCGTAGAACCAATAACCAGGAAAGGCGCCCCAGTGGCAGTGTAGGACGACCCACCACCTATGATGTCGATGGATGTAGGTGGCGCAGGATCGTGCTTCGTGGCAGTTTATGCGAGAGGCCTATGTTCAGCAGTGTACTTAGGGTTGTTAGTTAGTTGTGATTTTTAGTAGGTACTAATTAATCGGTCATTTTAATAAAAACTCTTTTTTTCCACAAACCAACGAGTTTTTTTATGCTTATTTTAGTATTATTTGAAATTATTGAAATTAAAATTAATAATTATATAAAATTTAATAATATTAACAATGAAAAAATCCTGAAAATCTGTTCTTGACTTATGTTGTTTTACCATGAAATAAAGTTAGTGATATTTAATTTTGCCACAATAATCGCAGTCATCATATTCTTATCTCTTGACAATTATACTTAAAAATTAACATATTAAAATTTCAAATTTATCCATTTGTAGTTTATATCTTTAAGTTACGTGATCACATACTCAATCATTCTCATCTAGATTATCTTCAACATTTGCAGTTAGACAGTTATAAATGCTGTTATAAAATGGCATATTATTCTCTTCATAAATGCTATCCTAAACTTACTTTATATCGTCCAATCTTAACTATAGTTAGGCACTTTTTAGGGTTCATTTCTATTTTTAGTGCTTCGTGAATTCGAACCTGCGTTTTCTAGTAACGCGCCCAAATGCTTTACCAACTAAGCTAAGCGGGGTGGGCGCATCACTGCAAGAAAATCTCTACATCTACGTCCTGTGTTGCATTTTTAGCAATGCGTGGCGCCATCTAGTGCATCCCTTACAGCATAACTTACAAAGAACCATAGATTATACATATATACTGATAAGTGAAAAGAACATTCAACGAATTAACATTTGTAACGAAAGATGTCGCCATGAGCACATAAATCACAAGCCTGGGCTGATGGAAGTAAAACAAAAGTTATAATTTTTTTAAGAAGAAATGTTTATTCAATATAAAAAAGAGATTAGAATATGGTTTGAACCAAAAGGAAAAATTCAAATTTTAAACGTTAAACTCAGATAAAACTCCTGCCATCTAGTGGTGCATTCAAAAGCCTCACGTCAACTGATTAGTGCTTTTTTTTTCTATGATTGTGGCATTTTGTTATCAAAATGTTTATGCCAATGACAAGTAAAAGGAAGGAAACAGTGGTTTTGTTGAAATAAATTTATTTCAACAGGAGTAGGAAGCCGAATTTGGAAAAAGGAAAATAATCGAGATTTACGATACATAATTATATACAATGTGATAAAGTATTAATAATTACAGAATATTTATTTTTATTAATATCGTATTTATATTTATATATATATATATATATATATATAAAAACCTATTAACCAAATTATACTATAGTAGTAGTATAGAATAAATGAAGCTAATATTTTATGTACACAAGGGTAGTTATATGATAAAGTGATTGGTGTTGTTTATCAATGAAAGTTTTTACGAGACATTATTTGTAGAGAAAGGAATTGCTACTTACTCGGTTTTTTACTCAAAAATCTAAGAAATCATATTCAGCTAAAAATAACACGGAAAAGATTAAAATTAAAAATTAAATTTATTTACTCAGTTGCAGACGGTTCACGTGATGTTAAGTGATTACCGCCGCCCGTGCACAACCCGAAGGTTGCAGAAGCGTTGACAACCTTTTGAAAATTGGGCCCTGGCTACCTTGCTCACCAGGCGATACGCAGAAGTGTAAAACTTCCACTTTACGCTGGTCTTCTATAATGTCGTGGTACTTACCCGGCCAGCCCATTCGTGCAACAGCTGAGGCTACTGCGTGGCTCTACCACGGCAAGTTTTAGAGTATAAGCTAATTTTTTTTCTGAAATTGAAGAACCATGATAAAATGTAAGGGCCCATTTACACGATGCCATTTTCTTGCACATACAAGAGCAATAATTGAATGCCATAAGTTGCACGCAATAATTGACCATCAAGAATTGTAAGCAACAGTTTACACGCAGATATAGTAAAAAAAATTGAATGCGATTATTGAATGCAAGTCTTGACAGGAAATAATTGCAATGGTCTTTTGTTTACACCAATGCAATTATGTTTAGGCGATTATTGCTTTCAAGTTTTGACTTGTCTAAACACATGCTTGTATGTGCGTGTACAATTTATTGGCGTGTTGCTTCAAGTATTGCACGTATTTGCGTTGACAAATTTTTCATGCAAGTGTTGAACGTTTTACAAATGGCTGTTTTTTTTAAAAATGGCTCAATAATAAGTGTTTAAGTTAGATTATGCCGATTAAATATATTTCATTGAGATTTATTTATTATGATCCATATACTATTATTCATATTTTTATCCAAACTTTTTTTACGACCTTTTCTCAACATTTCTATCCTCAAAAGAACAGCAATGATTAAATACCGTCACTCATTGCACTAATTTTTGCAAAGGAAGAGAGAATGCAATTGAATACAAGAATTGCTTAAGAAATTATTGTGCTGTTTACACCAAGGAAAGTTTTGAAACAAAACTTGAAGCAAGTCTTGTTCAACAGTCAAGAATGTTATGTGCTGTTTAGACAATGCAACTCATTTATTGCTTCAATTTAATTGTATATAACAGGCAAGAAACTTGCACCGTGTAAATGGGCCTTAACGGCGAGTCAAGGTCACACCACTGCACTTCACTTTAGAAATCGCGTTTGTCGATAAAATAAATAAAAGTATCTATCTTACTACACCTCTACCCCCTTGCGATATTTCGTGATTTTTGCTAAATCCCCTGCCCCCGCTTTCGAGCCTCACGTGATTATTGAACGGCCCTTAACAGTATGCTAGTTCTCCCTATTCGTGCGCTGCATAATGAAGCGCACCTAGCGGTGAAAGTTCAATCCGCATCTTGAGAATAAGAATATAAGCCTATAATGAATCAAGCTCTGGCTTGGTTTGATCAAACTTACTAGTCCAATGATCACTGTTGACCACCGTTAGTGTTGAAATGTTTTTATTGCCGGGAATACATTTTTACAAAACAAAAGCAGCTTATGTAAAGAACGGTACCTAATAAAGTGAAAAAAACTTCATTCTCATAAAACTTATGCCCTATAACAGTAGACAATAATGAGTCGGCAAATGACGTCCATAACTTGGCTTGGGCAAATTGATTTGTACTTTCGTGAATCGTAAATAATTTTATCTCACTTACGAAGCAGCACGGTACAAACAGTCAGAAAGAAAACTTTTTACTGCCTACTAGAGCTACAAAGTAGCCTTGCCTTCCTCAAACAATATCCATTTTTTCTTTCTTAAAATGTTTCAATGGATAGATCATTCGATTTTATCTTATTTGCATGTTCCTAAACTTCAGTCGACTCCTGCGCAAGACTGGACCCACAGCTATAGGTACTTCTCACATTAAGTTTGGCTATATTATGCCTACCAGAATAACCAAAAATAATATATTCACAGGGGATGCCTTTTTATTGAATTTATTTTATTTACAAAAATAATTTCATGTTAAGCTAAACATTTGTACGACATCAAAAGATCATATACTTTTGGCGAAATAGCGTTTGATGTGTAGGCTTAACATGAATTTCCTCGACGTTTCTACAACTTCATTACTGAAAAAGTTCAGGGTATCTAAAAAGTAAAAAAGAAACAAGTATTACAAATAACAACTTGCAGCACAACGACCACAAGTAATACTATAGTACTCAAACACAAAAAGTCACATTTTATTTACAATTTGTTTATTTTCGACATACACTTGTATATCCCAGAAGTTTGTTCATGTCCGATCACTTATGCTAATTTCATTCCTAATCATTGGAAGAAACATCAAGGTCGTACAAAATACATGATTCTGATTCCTTGTTTTAATATTACCAAATTAAAATACAAATCTACAACATTTCTGCAATGAGATCCAGAACAATTAATCTTCAGGAGTGTAGTAGGGGGCTGGACACCTCGACACACACACAATCACGCACACAAACCGACGCACGACGGGACAGATAACTCTAATTTAAGCTCTGTATCGTAAAATACAACTAAGAATTCAGTTCAAATGGTGGAATTTCCATACTATAATGTCAAATTGATCTAATCAGCAATAATACTCAAGTGAATCTATAAATCCATACTATATTATATTAAATTTATGCAAGGGTCGCGCTCGGGCGCGGCCACGTCACACGAGACGTATTTTATCCTTATAAATCTTAAAAAGGTTACTCTCTTATATTAAGTGTGGAATGGATGAAGCGCCCCCGCGCGGCGCCGCCGCAGCGCGGGCGCGGGGACGCTCATGACCGCTCGCTTAACCTGCAACAACACAAACGCACACTTCAGTCTCGCCCTTCCCATTCCATTATATACACATATATATAGCGTACTTGAAGTATATCACCTTCCCTACAAACTTAATTCATCAGTGCAAATGACATCGCACAGAAATAAAATGTCCACTTGAGAAGCAAAAAAGCATGGTGAAAAACAAACGTAATATTTTGGAATTCACGAAAATGGTTGATTAGTCAATCACATTCTTTGTGGGATCATTATCTTTACAAACCAGACAGATAAGGAATAAGTCAATGATAACATTGAGTAGGTTATTCTCCATTCATCCCATTTAATTCATGTATTTTTGCACCTCAGTTTATTAATCACATATTTTAAGTAGATAATTAATAAATACTATTCATTAAACTTGAGCACATAAAACTATAGTGCATGAAATAACACCGAAATTTCACAACACAGACAATTATGCAAGCATAAAAATAAAACAAAACAGCACTACATGATAAAGGCCAGATCAGGATATATATATATATATCGTATATAATTATATATCGTATTTAATTATTGCAAAAGATTAGGGGATGTGCTTTTGTTTCGGGCCTGGGTGGTATGCATTCATAAGTACTTCTAAAAGGTGATTGATTGGTAAGACATCGCAAACGAGCCCATAAAAGTTTCCATAAGAGAAGAGGCTCACCTTACTATTGGACTGAGATGACTATGGGCAGGTACGGTTAGAGTCTAGTAGGGCTGGTGCCTCTGGTTGGCACGGCCGCCACCTCCGCCGCGCTGCTTGCCGCCCTGGTAGCCCGCTGCAAACCATCGCATACACTGCCTAAATGTCACTAAACACCTAACTAAGGAAAGGAGCCTACAGTAGAACTTTAAATAAACTAGGGTTAAGAAATAAAGCTCGTGCCACATTGCAATGTGATTTAAAACGACGCGTTTCCCCTAACGGAAATTTGGTCTATCACCATGAAGTTAGGTTAAAAAAATCCTTATCAATACATTTGCAACTAAAAAGCTAAATACGCCAGATAAATCAAAGCTAGGTTAACATTCTGAATATATTGAACAAACATTTAGTCTGTCCAAATTCTAAAGTTATAAATGAAAATGTGGCATAACATTTCTACCTAGCATTGTACGTAAGCCGTATAGTAAATAAATATATGAAACGGTAACTAAAACAGGCAGATCTACGAAAGCAGGCAAACAGTATAGAAATGGTATAAAGTATTGTGAAGAAACCCTGCAACGTTTTGATGGAACGATAACAGCAATAATACTATACAATAATTTTTTTTAAATCATAACCAAACCAAATAAACCTACAATAAAAGAGACGATGTTTTGATAGAAATATATACAAACGCCGTGCCAAATTACACCATGATAAAGAACCAATAAACGCCCGCCCCCGCTGCAACTGCAACTGCAATTACGATCGGTGTACACAATTTTGCCCTCATTAGACGACGCTCCTACAAGAGCACTCCCCCAAAATGCCATCAAAACGTCAGAGGAAAGGAGTGTGAATGAGGCGAAATGAAACTAAGTGGGGTGGGTAGAGGACGGCAGTACCTTTCCCGCGTGGAGCAGCGCGCGCGCCGTAGCCGCCCTCGTACCCTCCATACCCGCCGTAGTCTGCCCGCAACACAAACCATTAGTCCGCAAGGCTATTGTGGCTTTTGGGCTACTCTAGCACTTTGGACTCCCCAAACCTCTTTGTTGCGGTTTACAACTGACGCACTTAGGCTAAAACTTTTTCCATGCAATTCTTAAGTTCCCCCATTTGCCTCTTTCTGTCGATATGAAGCTTTCAATTGTTGAAGAATTATCATGCTGATTCTTTATTCCTTGTTGATTTATTATTATTTGCCACTATTCAGTGTTTTTTAATGAAAATTTTTGTGGCACAATTTACAAATCAAGCGCCATGGAAGTTCTTCATAAATGTGAAGTTCAAAATTAATATCATTTCACATTGGTATTAAAAAAAAATATAAGTTTTATATACTTGTTAATTACTACTTTAATTTGTTAAGTTCATTAAATAAAATTTTGTATTTTAATGTTTAGGTATTTTCAACTTGTGTAATTGTTCCCAGAACATGCAAGGTTAGTTGTGAGTAACGGGCCGCCGTGTTGTTTGCGTGGCCACGAAGCGTATAAGGTGTGTAGTAGAGTAGCGGCGAGTGGATGGGAAGTGGACTGGGATTAAATATATGGAAACACATTGAGATTTTTGTAACAGTGCTTTATTCAAAAGCTTCATCATATCTTTATCACTTTCACAATGTCTCTCCATATATTACCCCAATTTCCCAAATGTAGCATGTGGCGAGAGTGTTAATAGGTAAAATAAAAATACCAAAAACAAATAAAACTCGGGCGACATTGCTACATATGTCAAAAGTGGTATTACAAATAAACACTTATAAAACGTAGGCAGATAACATATATGTACAGAATACAGTACCCAGTGAAACAATGATAAAGAGTGATCGAGAGCTGCGTGGGCACTTGCTACTAACGCTAACAGAAGGGTAGCCGGCCGCAGGGAGCGGGCCGGCCATTGCGCCACCCCTCGCCGCGCAATGCCCCGCCCCACTCGCCCGCGGCCGACAGCAATGCAAATTAGTGGAAATAAACCAAATAGCGCAAATTAAAAATGATCTTTCGGAAACAAGTTACGTAAAATGATTAATTCTAATTACTCGAAAAATGATTAGATAGAAACCGATGGTTATATTGATATATATATACTGTCTCCTCGACAACATTCACTACACATTATCTCGATAGAATATCCATGTAAATACGTAGTTATAATAGAAAAATAAATATTTTCTACACTAAGTCGTACACCTAAGGTCCACGCGTCGTCGGCCCGAGTGGAGCGACACATACAAGGTAAATAGGCATCTCAAGGACGGAGGGTCGCCCGTCGTCGCTTTACGCTAACCTAGCCTTACTCTACGTTTACATCCTAATAATCAGGTAACATCAGTCGAGGTAATGTGTCGGTGAGCGGACTAGCGTCGGGCCGCCGGCGCACTAGTAGTTCTGCTTGCCGCGTTTACCGTAATTGGGGTAGCCGGAGTAATCGTATCCGCCATATCCGCCGTAGCCGTCGTAACCGTAGCCGCCATAACCGTATCCGTCATAGCCGCCGCCGTAGCCCCCCTGGCCGTAGCCGTAGCCACCGTAGCCCTGATTGCCCCAGGTGCCCTGGCCGCCGTAGCCGCCGCGCCCTCCGCGACCCCCGCGCGCCCCCCTCCCGCCGCGCCCCCCGCGCACACCCATGCCCCCGGGCCCGTCCGGCTTCGGCGTCGCCCGCTTCACGTCCACCTGCGCCAATTAAACAATGCAAAAATAATACCGCTATTTCGTGTCCACTCATGTGCAGATATACTCAATAGCCAAATGAATCAATGCTTTACCTCCTTGCCGCCTATTGTCTGCTTAGGCGTCTTAAGCAGTTCATTGACAACCTGTTCGGACTCAAATGTGATGAAACAGAATCCCTTCCTTTGGTTCTTTGTCTTATCAAAAGGCATTTCAACTTCAATGATCTGAAACATTTAAGAAAATAGTGTTAACAAACCACCTTTTGGTGCAGTATAAAATGGGTTAAACTGTGTTAACTCAGTGGCCCGGATTTCTCTTCAGAAACAATCAAGAAAAAAATTATCTCACCAAATCCGGAGTTGTCATCATTTTAGTTATATACGAGTCATTCTGAACCACTGATATTATTCACAGGGAATAAATAGTATGGAAATACTTACTGTCCCGAAATTACTGAAGAAGTTCTTGATTTCATCATCTGAGATTTCACTGCTTAAACCTCCAACAAATATCTTCCCATGTCTTGCCTTTGCCTTCTTTGGATCCACTTTTTTATTGTTGATTGTGTGGTCACCGGCAGCCATAACTTTATCGATTGAATCTGGTGCTTTGAATACAATAAAGGCGAATCCTCTTGATCGCCCTGTATTTGGATCTGTCTTGACATTAATGCTCTCTATTTCGCCATAAGCACTGAAGTGGTCACGTAACTCCTCTGTGGGAGGAAGGAAGAAACTTAGCAACTGACACTTTAATCTTGGAGTATATTATAAAGCAAGTTACTATCAGTAGTGTGGGTAAGCTTTCTTCAATAAAACTTCAGAAGCAGAACTGAGAAATTCATCATTTCATGCAATTTTATTAAACATAATTTATATTTTTTATTAATATGAAAGAATTCTTAATTTTTTCAGAAAATTATGATCACAAAATTCATCAAGGAATTTTACATTAAAATGTTTTTTTACAAATTTAATACCATAAATTGAAGATTTATAACCTTAGGCAATAATTTTAGAAACAAAAGCTCCTGAAGTAGGTAATGGTAAATATTACTTATTTTTTTTATAAAACAACACTTACTGTCGGTAGTTTCCCAGCTCAGTCCACCCACAAACAGTTTTCTGTAATATGATGTAAAAAATTAAAACTCGTAAATTTACAACCCATAGCAGTCTCGATTCAGAGAATTTTAAAACTTAAAAATTACAATTTAACATTAAACAACTATGCAGTACTTGTTTACAGTACTTTACAGCTACTTTTTTGTTCAAAACAAACTCCAAGCACTGCAGCAAATCAAATTCAGAACCTGTAAGTTACAAAAAGGAAAACTGGAAAACTTTTAACATTAATTAAGACAACGAAATATGATAACAAGAATGTTACAGTGATATCGCAAGATTTGAAATTGGCAAGTGTGAATGGGGCCCAAAATTAAGTGGCCGAACCAAGAACTGGTCAGTTTGGTCGTAAGCTTTGCTTTACTTTAGTGTGAGCCCATCGGATATATACCATGACGTCCTCCGGCGGCAGCTGCGGCGGCGGCGCAGGCTCACACCTGCAGAGAGACAGCCTGTTAGTAGCGCTCCAAACTGACGCGCACGATCGGGCACCACGAACCCGCGCCGCGCCCCTAGGCCCCGAGCCACACATCATACGCACTACCACCGATTTAAAATCTTGCAAAGAAGTACTCGAAACCGCTACACAACGGTCCCACGCCCGCAAAATGACCGTAACACTCAAAACAAATCTAGCATAACGGAACCGATGTGAAAATCGATAACGGGACCGCGCCGGTGCCGGGTGCAAAAGAGACGCGCTTAAGACGCCATTTTAACTTCATGCGCTACTAACTAATTTTAGAAAATTAAAGCGGACGATAGTCTGAAATGAAAACTATGACATCGAAGAATGAATTTAATCCGCGAAGAACCAACTGCAAAGATGAAAACATTAAATTTTGAAAAGACCTCAAGGATTCAAATCGATTAGGATGCCGATAATAATAATGCCGGACCGCCGACGCCATTGCGGGTGGGTAAGGATGGTACTGTAAAAGCACAATGACTAAGCTAATAAATAATCAACAAAATATTAAGCTATAATAACATTACGTTAAGAAACATTTAATTAAAGTTGATAAAGAGAACTCTGGATGCCTGCAAAGGAAATCAACTTTACCTGTCGTCATCGCGTCCCGACGCTTCTGCACTGTTATGTTCTTGATTATCGCCTCCACCATTTTCGAGTGTTTCCATTCACTTGGCTTTCTGTAACATCTTGCGCGAAATTGTCGTTATTGGCCATGACTGAGACTTAGATATACGCTTAATTAATAATAAACTAACAACTAAGGTCCACACACGACCTTCAACACTGAATGCCAAACGCAGAAGAAGGTGGAAGGAACGGAAGCCTGTGATGAGTCGGCGCGAAACAATTTGTAATGTTGGCTAACTACAAAGAGACGCGCTTTTTTTGCAAGCATTTACATCCCTACTCCTTTATTAACCAATCAGCAACAAGAAGCATACAGAGGTCAATGGCATTCTTTTAACATAGACAAGGATAGCAAATAACTTTAAATTAAAGTGCGAAAGTGAAGGAAATATAAGACATCGAATCAATATTATTGCCAACTGTGCGATGGTTGTTTACCGCCATTACTGCACAGATGCTTATATCGCGTTCGAAATAAATGAAATGAATTAAAATATTTATACATTACATCCAGAATTTCAATAAACGAATTGTAACTTTGCAATTTAGAATTATTTTTCAAAACATTTTATATCCATTTCCAATGTTATTATTATTTTATTGTAATTAATTATTTGCATGCAATTAAAAACTATTTTTTAGGATGCCAAAGAATTAGTATCACTTCTCACGCGCGTACCTAGGTACACGCACCATTTTTAAAGTCTCTATTCAAATTTCAGAATCTAGAAAAATTACGATTTTCGATTTTTAATATTAAAGTTAAAACATTACACAAGAAACATGAAAGCTTAAAAAAACATGTTATATAAAATTTGTACTGAAATAAACTATTCGTGTAAAAGTTCGAAAATTGTAATTTAATGAAAAATAATAACATAAAATGAGCATCGTTAAACTATTTTACGAAATTTATTGCGTTTAATTAGATTTTAAATTCGACGTTTTGAACGCTTTCCAGTCTTAAAACAGTATAAAATAGTGTCTATACAATGTTTAATATTCGTGTAAAAACAAAAAAATCACTATAAAATTAGCAATTCAACATTTTTAATTCAACAAAAACTCTTTAACTCGTCTGTATCATCTATCAATTGTCCATGTGAAATGTATGTTTGTAAAAACGTTCTTACAACACAAGATAATGTTATCCTAAAGTGAGGGCAATGTTTTAAAAAAAAATTAGACTTCGTATAAAATCAGCTATCTATTTTCATAAGTACTGAGCGTAAATTTGTAAATTTCAACATAGTATTTTAAATAACGTAAAAACAATTATTACAGTATTTAAACAAAAAATTAAGCCACTAACGAGTTGAAGGCCCGCCTTGTAATAAATGGTTACAGCTACCAATAGATAACTACAATACCAAATGCGTTGCAGATACGTGGCCAATTTTTAACAGTTTTAACTGTGGTATTGCCACGTAACAGTCCTGTCAGTCAGATGAATCAACCACCACCAGTTACCCCGGTTCATTCACTGCTGTGATATTTCGTTGTCCGGGCACTCGATTTTAATTCAATATAATCGAGCAACCTGGGTTCGATCTCCAGTGCCAGCATAAATGAAATTAATTTTAAGTGCTGACTTATGACGTGCATAGCAACACATTTTCAGAATACTATAAAAAATATTTCATAAATATGGTATCGTCCGCCAATCCTCAGTAGGGTCGCAAGGTGGACTATTCCGTAATACCCTCTGTACTGCTGTATCTTTGCCCAGCAGTGGGCCATATTGTAGGTACTTTACTTTTTTATTTTTTATCACACTTACCACTAATGACCAACAGCTCCTTTGGCCTTCCGTCTGGTGAGTCATGAGATGAAATACCAAAGAAGTGCTTAAACAATGTAAATATTATACTATGGCTAGTGTAACACTGAAAGTAATGCTTGGTTCATGGTTGCTATTATTTTTACTCCAATTGTAGCTTTTTCGATTATAATTAGATTTTGTATGTGTAAAATATAAAATATACAGTTACGAGGCACTTGGTACTTTATTATAAATATAAACTTTTTTGATTGACTGATTTCATGATACCGCAGGATTCTTACTAACATATACATATTAATTAATTATTTGGTAACTGTGGTAACACTTACTACCAAATTGACACTGAACGGTGAGGTAGGCTCTTTTTCTGTTTTCAGTCCTTATTTATCGTGAAAATTAAGCGAATTTCGTGACTATTTGTTGCTGATCATACCATTTTGATGCCTAAAATTTACTGAGGTAGGTTTTGGTGTATTGATCATTACTTTTCGTTAGTTAAAACTGTATTATTTTGATTTTCGGCTAAAGGATATATCTCTATAGGTTAAAGCCCTACTGTATCGGTATTATGCATATACTTCAGACGTAATAAGTATAAAATGCATAGTTGAATTTTTATTTTCGTTTTTTGGCTTAAAGATTAATAACAATATTATTTATGACGATTAATTTATAGTATCTGAAGGAATCGTACTTGGAGGCGCCATGCGTGGTTTGACAAATCGCGTTGTTAGTTCATTCTCCCTTTACATTCGTAGTTGGGTTTTGATTAAACAGTGAGTGGTTTTTGATTCTGGAGAGAACCTCCGATTTTCTTTGATTACTCGTGACTCTAACTTGAATTGCTTAAGAACATTGATTGCGATTGCTACCAAATAAAAACTGAAGGGTTATTGATATGTTTGGAAAATTGTGATTTAAGTACCAAATACTTAAATTGAAACATTGAGTTTTTATCCATTAAGATTCATTTGTAAAAAATAACCATATTAAATTGTTGATTAGAAAATGACAATAAAAAAAAATGAATAAATAAAAATATTCAATTGCATAATTTTCTAATTAATTAGAGGAATAAAATGTAATTGTTCTATGATTCTTGCTGATAAGGCATGATGTTGCACTAAAGAAAGCTATGTTAATGAAGTAAGGTACATGATAGGTTGTGATGATTTATCTTTAAATAAACATATTAGTGTATAGTAAATATTGTTTAAAGATTTGTAATAACAAAATCTCTAGCCATTCTCATCTAGAGTCTATTTAGGTGTGAGTGATTAACTGCAGAAGAACTGTTATCTTTAAACGCTTGAGAGGGTTATTTGATGACTTATGGTCAAAGAAAAAAATGTTAATATTTATAGAATGTAACCTTACCAACATGTAAAGATGAACTTGGAGAAAATGTCACCCAGAATGTAGTTTGGCTGGCTGAATTAAAATAGATGCATTTATTCAAACTTGTCACTTGCTATGAATTCATTTTTGTATTAAAGATTAAAAAATATTTAATATAACTGTCTATTGTCTGTTTAATAGCTCTACATTTTTTCCAACACAAAAATTTTGTACTTCTGATGTGAGTCTTAGAAATAAAGAATTTCCATCTTAATAATGTGTGAATGCTATCAGAGTAAAAGAACCAATACGAAGTATAATGAAACCTCAATAGAAGGATTGGGAAAGAGGTTCTATAATCTCTTGTAATGTCTCTGTTTGTCATATAATTTGTATTATGTATAGTTCATGTGAGTTTATACTTAATTTTCATTTACAATTTCTTTTGAATACCACAACTGCGTATTTTTATGTCGCTTCGACAGGGCAACGTATAGCGGAGGGCTGTATTAGCGCATTGTTAACAACAGCGATGGTAATGGAGGCGTCCCCATCCCCGCAGAGCGTTGGCCGCGAGTTCGTCCGCCAGTACTACACGCTGCTGAACAAGGCACCAGCCTTTCTGCATAGGTTGGTATTTCCTATTTGGCATTTTGCGTGGCGAAACCAAAGCAAGATTAAATACAATGTTATCTTATGTATGAGGTTTATTATTGTGTAATATTTAATCTCTAATAATACTGTGTATCTTAAATTATGAAAATCATTTATTGTGAACATCAGCAACAAATTATAATATATATTTATGATAAAATTTATTTTAGTTCTAATCTCAGGATGCACTTAAGATTACTGATGAAACTTACAATGTGAATTTTTCGCCATTTAAATGAGGTCATTAATAAGTTATGATTAATGTGAATGGAATTTAGTTGTACTCATTAGTATTTGTTATTGGGTGAGCTCATTAAGTTTATTATAAGAAAATAAATAATGATATCATTATCATTACCATATTGTTTCTAGTAATAGAGAAATAAATGTTTGTAATTATTTCAGAAAGTAAGATAACTACAGAATTATGATGGGTAACATAGTTTAAAACATATTTTACATTTAATGGTTAAAATGCTGAAAAGCAGCAGTGTATATTCATAATGTTTATAATTATCATAATTTTTACATTTACATTTTTTCATATAATAAGTTTCATGGAATTAATGTAGTTGAATAGCTATATGGTGTTGATTAAAGCTAGGCTTAAACTTCGCCAATCTGTCTACTGTACTTCAAATATTAGAAAAATATATTAGTTACCTTTTATAATATACCAATTTAAAACAATATTAACATGCCCTTAAATAGTGTTAAATTTTATTTTGCTTTCATAGCTTTTTATATAATAATTTAATAGTTATAATAACTTTTTTGTTTTTGCAAAGTATCTTAACAACTTTGACATAGGTGCTGAAATTGTAATGGTTGTAATTAAATTGGAATTATATAGAGCTTACTAAGATTAACTTTCTGCTTGATAAGAGTACAACTGGTTTGGTAGGCTATTGGCTATCTCAGTGATTCTCAACCACTGTGCCGCGGCACTTTTGTGTGCCGCCAAATTTCAAAAGTGTGCCGCCAAATTTTGCAAATATATAATAATGTTAATATTATTAAATTATATCATTTAAAAAGAAAACTATTTCGTGGCATTAGCCAACATTAAAACTAAAAAAAGATCAAGATTGTTAAATGTAGAAGACGATATGAGAGTAGCATTGTCATTTTTACGACTAAATATAAATGAAATTATCAAAAAACATCAAGCTCAAATTTCGCATTAAAAATATTTTTATTATTAGCTTGTAATTAATCCCTTAATAAACGTTTAGTTATTATTGTAATATATATTATTACTTTATTTCGTATATTTAAAATTTTTATCATAAACTATTTATGCAGTGTGTTGTAGTAAGTAAATAATTTTTATCTTTTTCTTTGTGTGCCGCCAAATTTTGAAATCGTTTAATATGTGCCGCAACAAAAAAAAGGTTGAGAATCACTGGGCTATCTATTTGAATTGGTTCATAAGGGTTTGAATCCCATATAAGTGCATTTAGATGTTTGTCTTTTAGCATGTAAAAATTGGTGAGACTGACACCTAAGTACCCAGATAAAAATCAAAGATATGGAGTTTGTTTACTTGTCACGGTGCAAATCCATTGGATATACCTATACTTTGCATGGCTCTTTGTTTACCTGTTTCTGAGTATGTCACAGATTACAGCCCCTGCATGCTCTTATCGAAATGTGTTACTGTAGATTTCAATTAATCTAATCATGTTGTATGTGTGGCAGTTATTTAAATATATGACACTGACAAACATAATATATTTATTTAGGGAGACATGCCAGCTTTGTGTTTGGGTGGATGTTTAATTAATTGTATCTTATTTCTTCCAATTTATCTTAATTGCATCCGAACAACTTGAGTACACAGATATCAATTCCAATTTCTAATGATTATTTACCATATACTCTGCAGTTTTCGTGACAAAACCGATATCTATACAAACAACTATACAGTTTACGTCATACTGCTAAGAGAGAGTAATGTGTGTATTAGGGGTATCCCTAACACCCTCAGTACAGCGCTAGGCAAAAGCCTACTGGCTTTCGCCCGGCAGTGGGCACATATATAAGCTGCTTCTTTTACATTGTCTTGCTTCACTTGTTCTCATGGCTTCCATTGGCTCTGTACCCGCGTACCTGACCTTATCTCTTTAGGATACACATTTACAAACTATTGATCCATATGCAGAAGAACTTGAAGCCCAATGACAAGATATTTTTATTTGAAAGAAAGAAAAATGTTTATTGGGTAAATGAATATAATAATTAATTACAAAAGACAACAATGCTTAATGATAAATATTATGATACCATGCACCAAAAAGGTTTTCCACTCGGCATTATAGGTAGAAGCTTAAAAAACTCCATGGAAAAACTCACGAAGCTTAAAAAATTTTCAATATAAATACGATAATAGATGAATTTAATCGTAATTTAAGTTATTTTTGTTCCTTTTAACGTTCACTGACGGGTCAGGCCCGCCGAGAGTTTATCGCTTTTTTCAATGCAGAAATTAAATTAAACATTGTTAGCGATAATCGCAGTTAATAAGGAAACGAGAGAAACTGCTTATGATTATCGGAGGAAATACATAACGCAATTGTGCGTATAGTGATCGCATTTTTTCATAATAATCTAATATTCTTTTACAATAGGCCACAGATAATGTTTTGAATTTGGAATATCTACAATATTTGCATATATATTTTTTTATTAACAGCGTCGAAATGTTCTACCAACCCGCTAGGAAGAATGTGTAACAATAGGATGATTATGCCAATAATAAAGTTGAAGTGTCTCTCTGGGATAAAAATAATTCTCTTTCGTTTCTCTTTTTTTTTATAATTGCCCTTACTGTAGGATAGCATTATACTGTGTTGTTAGGATGTTTTACATACATAAATTTCACCTGGACAAACAAGGCAAAAAGTCCCCTACTGTGAGAATCAACCCGCAATCCCCGACACCTAGGCAACTGCACCACGGAGTCATCCACCGGCCCTTACAAAACAGACCGATGACGTGTTTCCCCTGTCGCAGGTTCTACAACAACTACTCGTCGTTCGTCCACGGCGGCCTGGATGCGCCCAACCGCGAGACGCTTCCAGTGATCGGACAGAAGCAGATACACAACCGCATCCAGCAGCTCAACTTCCGCGACTGCCATGCCAAGATCAGCCAGGTGCGTAGTAGGAGGAAAGACATTTATTTGGTTCTTAAAAAAACAATATAACAGATATTTAAATTATTTATAGTGCTAATCTTTGCACTTAAGATTGAATATTAAAACGTGTAGAAAAAGTTCGAAAAGATTGTCGCCGCTGTGGGAATCGAACCCACGTCTGCGGCATTCGCGGCCTGACGCTCTAACCACTAAGCTAAACGGCTGATTGCCACACCGACGAAAATCCTAAAATCCTTTTTATCTACATTGTTTTTTAGCATATGAAGCAATGCTGCAAAGAGATGTTGCCATTGCTTCTTAGAAATTTAAATTTTTTATAGTGCTAATTTCTGCACTTAAGATCGAACATTGGCGCAAGAAACAAAGATATGTTATGATGACAGGTGACAGTCTTTTCGTATTTTTTCTACAAATTTTAATCTTCTTATTGTTTGTCAAAAAAAAAAAGCCGACCTGAGGAGAACCGGCGAAAGAGTATCAGCGGGACATGTTTTTATAAGCACCGTCTAGAACACACGGCAAGAAACATGCTAACCAATGTTTAATGTATATCAGTTGAAAGAGAGACACATAGAAAGCATTCGTGCAGCCCCGTACAAATGTTTGTATGGCGGCAGGTGGACTCGCAGGCGACGCTGGGCAACGGCGTGGTGGTGCAGGTGACCGGGGAGCTGTCCAACGGCGGCGCGCCGATGCGCCGCTTCACGCAGACCTTCGTGCTGGCCGCCCAGTCGCCCAAGAAGTACTACGTGCACAACGACATCTTCCGCTACCAGGTCACGCAACGAACAATCCACCCGCATCTAGATTGAGGGGAATGAGTTAATCTTTTACCCGCGCCCGCCCCCGCTCCCGCTCCCGCCTCAGCGCCCGTGCCCGCCCCCGCCCCCGCCCCCGCCCCCGTCGCCGCGCCCGCTCCCGCCCCGCACGTCAACGGCCACCCGCCGCCCTTGGAGGAGACGCGTCATCTCGTCGCGGCGCTCCAGGGTCAGTATGACAATGGGTGGCTAGGATTTATTGTAATAGACATAAGATACATATGAAATAAAATTCTCATGTCTTAATGCTTATAAATTACGTTAATTCGGGTGTTATAGATCGGTATATCGGTACGATTTTTGAACGCAAACATGTATGGTATACTTTTGAAAACAGCAAGACAACATTTTGGGGTAAGGTCCATGGGAAACTGCAAGTCTACTATGATAAAATTATTTTTTAAATATCGTTTTGCTTTTACATTTGTAATGATTTGAGTTATCTATCTGTTATCTCGCAGCGAGCTCAATATCCGGCCCGAGCGAGCGGGAGGCGGAAGCGGAAGCGGAGACGCCGGCGGCTGGTGCGCCCCAGCCCGCGCCTGAGCCCGACCAAGAACGGGAGCCCACGCCGCCGCCATCGCAGCCCGGTGCGTGCGACCTCTGCTTAAATATGATATTTTTACGTTTTTCATTCATTACTCTGTAACTAACCAGCGTATGAATTAGAAGCTTGAGTAAGACAGCTATATATCATCAAGTATTATTGTTTTTGAATTGCTAATGAAGGTTTAATAGCTGTAATAAAAAAATCAATTTCAGCCGTGCCGGAGCCCAAGACGTACGCGAACCTGCTGAAGTCGGGCTCGGGCGGGCCTTCGGCGACGCGCAGCTCGCCGCCCGCCTCCGCGCCCGCGCCCGCTCCCGCCGCCGCGCCCGCGCCCGCCTCCGCCCCCGCTTCAGCATCCGCATCCGCGCCCGCGCAAGAGCAGCGCCCGCGCCCGCCACGCGTGCAACAGCCGCCCGGTTAGTCTGTTCGCTTGAAGCCTATCGTCTTCCGTCTTCTTAAACGAGGGGGACCATAAACAAGGCCATGATCACTCCATGGCTCAGTTACAAAGATATATAAATAATTGTTTGATTTCAGTGTTTATCCACATGTTATAATAATACTAGCTGACCCGGCAAACGTTATTATATGGACAATTATTTGTAGGGTAGAAAAAAATGTTTGGGGTGGATCACCCTTCACATTTAAGGGGATGAAAAATAGATGTTGTCCGATTCTCCACCCTGGCCGATATGCACACAAAATTACATGGAAATCGGTCGAGCTGTTTAGGAGGAGTTCAATTACAAACACCGTGACATGAGAATTTTCTATATTAGATTTATGTAAATGGATGGAAAACGTTCGTATATATGGCTTCATAAGAAATAAAGAAGCTAATCGGTCGCAACTTCCCCAGCGGAGGGCGGCGCCGGGCGGCGCTACTCGGACTCGCAGCAGCTGTTCCTGGGCAACCTGCCGCACTCGGCCACGGAGGAGGAGCTGCGCGCGCTGTTCGCGCGCTTCGGCGCCGTGGCCGAGCTGCGCGTGCACGGCAAGGGCGGCCACCCCAACTACGGCTTCATCACGTACGAGTCGCCGCAGGCGGCGCTCGAGTGCCTGCGCGCGCCGCCGCTTTACTTCCCGCCCGACGGCGCCGAGCCCGTCAAGCTCAACGTGGAGGAGAAGAAGGCGCGCGCGCGCCGCCGCCCGCTCTCCTCGCACCGCCCCGCCTTCCAGCCGCGCCAGCCCTTCCGCCGCTAGCGGTGACTTCCTCCTTCCTCGCCACCCTGCCTTCGCGGGTACCACACCACCCGGTGCCGAACATTTTTCTAAAGCTATATGGGCCCCGGCCACCTCACTCGAAGACGAAACGCAGGAGTAATAACACCACCTCACACTGGTCCTCCGTGAGGTCGTGGTACCTACCCGGACGGACCTGCCCATTCGTGCGCCCCAGATGCTTCACTCGTCAAATGAAACGTAGAAGTATCGTACTTTCTTCTCGCATGGGTCTTCTGCAAGGCTGTGGTACTTCCCCCGAAAGGCCACCGCCGTCCGAGCCCTCTAACCTGTCTCCCGTCGGTCCGCAGATTGGGCGGCGCCTCCGGCCGCGGCCCGGTGCTGCGCCCCCGCACTGAACTAGGCCCCTGAGCCGGCCGGACACTCGCGCATCTCACCGACGGCAGGCGTGCGGCCCTCCATCCACCCTCTCGGAGCGCTTAACGATTTTCGTCCCACGTTCAATTTCGTTCGTAATTTTTATTGTTATACCGTAAATTACTTGCGTAATTTATAATCGTATTTAGGGTACTATTGACTAATAGCCGCGTGATAAGTTCCCCCTTGGTTTGATAGAATTGTGTCGTTCGCGCCGTGACGTCACGGCGAGCGTGTGCCATCGCGGCCGCGTGACGTCACGGCGTGCGCGCTGTCACGTGACGTCACCCCTGGTGGCCGCGCGCCTTCTGCCGCCGAACTAACGCTTGGCACATCGCTTCTCTCATTCGTCCCCACTTCCCTTAACTAGTTAGATAGTAAATGAACGCGTTCGGTTCGTCCGTCTCGCTCGCACGGGCCCTTAGTGCGACCGGCGCACGGCCACAGCGAACGGACCATTATCCTGTAATATTCTAGTGACTTATTTAATTGTTTTTTTTTAATAAGCATCTGACCTGAAACGCTCTCATTTCGGAGCCGATCGAGCGGTCGGCGTTCGCCTGATCTCACAGTTTTAATTCAGCGGTTTTCTGACCGCCTGCATTGTTAAAGGAATAATAAAGCATCGATACGTCTTCTTGTCCTTTGAACTGTTTTGTTACACCTTGACCCAATTCCAAGGTTAGAAGACCTCAATTCTCCCCACTTCTCGATGGAACATAAAGTCCATGATTTTTCTTTCTCTGCTATCACACTCCTCTAGAAGGTCTATTTATTCTAAATCCCAATATTTTCCCCATATAGTTGGTTATTATGTCCTTCTGAAATGTTTACACGGAAGGAGATGGGTAGACAAATCGTAAATCGTCACTGACCACTTTCTTGACTAACGAATTGATACGTAGTACGTAAATATTCGACCGAACCGATAAAGGATCGATTTATTTGGAGACTGGCACGTCTTTAAAACATATAAATAATTAGGGTCTTGTTTATTCTATGTGATTGATTATGCATATTTGTCTATGGCCGATATGGTATAAAATTATATATGTCCGTATAAATGATAGGTCGTTGAGAAATGATCAGATATGTATACAGCGCTATGTAAATTTATATATCATGTTTTGTTGACTTATGGTGTAAAAAGTTTCAATTATATTTTGGAAGATATTTTAGTGTTTCAAACCAAAGTACAATAATTGTGATCGCATCTTGACGAATTTTTACACTCATTTTTAGCTGACACCTTTACTTTTTCAGATGGCGAATGATCTTGAAAATGTTTGGCCATTTTCAAACTTCTTTTATCTAAATGCACTGAATCTCTAATTGTTCTTGTTTTCGCTTGTCCATGGATTTTTTTTACTATTATGAACTAGTAGTGGTAAACTTTGAAACGGTGTCAATTTTATTGTGTTATAATATAATATTTTTTGTTTTTTTTTTTTTACTTTTTTAAACAAATTTTATGTCCCGTGAATAGAGCTACATACATGTCTGATCGTTTCTTAAGTAACGCCGCGAAGGCAACTATACAAACGATTGTAACTAAACGATATCTGAATACCTTTAGTCGGTAATCATGAGACATTTGTGTTTTTTTTTTTTTGTATATTACTTTTAGTTGTGTACACGTGGAGCCTCTCATTTCATTAGGTTAGCGATCGCGCGCGTACTTACGTACCGATTGTCCTTACGTACTCAGTGTACTCGTAGTACGCGCTTATTGCTTCTCGTCACGTGTAGATTTAACTATGCGGCAACGACGGAATGGCGGGAGATATCCGTGGCGTAGTCCGTTTGTGTTCAAATCGTTTGGTCCATTCGCTGGCCTCTCGGTGTGATATTTAAAAACTGCGGAATGGAATTCTGTTGGTGTTTGATTTAACGCTTCCGCCACCCCCTTGCCAGGCGTCCGCCGCCCGGTGTTGTCATCGTAGGTTTTTCGTGCGTGTTAAACTAGGGTAACTATATGCGGCGTCGGGGAAATTTCTTAGCGTAGTATTGGCTAGTTGCGGCGGGCCAGCGCGGCGCTCGAACTAAAAATTTTTGGTAACGCCCTGACGCAAAAAAAAACTCATATTATAGCTAAAACAATTTCGATCACGCCTCAGATTAAAAAAAAACCGCACCATGATTGGTATTCGTTTAGAAGCTACGATGCCACAGACAGATACAGACACATCAAACTTATAATATCCCTCTTTTTTTACGTGGGGGGTTTAAATACTCTTTTAATTGTCATGTAGGTTTTTAATTGTGACAGTTTAAAAACGTATGTTGGTAGTTGGCTAACTTTTTTTTTGTAATAAAACTAGTATTGGCAATAAGTGTTAGTATTGCCGCGTGCCGCCCGCCGATATCGTCCGTACGTTCGGCGCTACTGCTTCTAGTACGTACGCCCAGTTTCTAGTGTGGCATCCCGATCAAGTGCTGTACTTTATTATATTCTACGTCGATCGAACTTTAGAGTTTCCCTAATTTAGATTTAAAACCTTTGCAGTGCTAATGGGGGGTGGGGGCGGAATTGTAAATGCCATCCTTAAATGTCCCTGAATGTTAATTAATGATCGAGACATTGCTCCTGCGAGTTCTGCACTAACCGCCCCTCATTAACATTGCAAACGGTCTTGGTTTAATGATAATGATAATAATAATTTAAAAAAAACGGTATAAATAGCAAAAGGAATGGTAAAAGAGCCTCGTTATGAATGTATATAGTACACATGAGAATAGCTCCCGATGTGTTTCGATTATGAATAACGTATTTTATAATTGATTGTGTGTTTGTATCGGTCGGATGGATGGCGCTGGTTGACCCCTCTGGCCCTCCGGCCTCTGGGCTGGTAGTTGTCAGTCATCGAGTGCGCAGTGAACGTATTTTAGTATAAAGCCAAAACTTGGAGCTAGCGAATGTTGTACCCTAGACTCTCTTAGTCATGAATTTGAAAGCATTATCCGAAAAAGTGTTTATCAGATTCAACGACACTCAAGATTTGTTTTCGTATCCTAATAGCAGTGTTAACACTATTTTTATATAAATTCTGTAGTTCTCATAGCCTTAATGCAGGAAAGATCTTGCCAATTGTTCGTTATCATTTTCGTCTAGTCAAATACAAGCGCTTAATAAAATATAGTATTCCATATAATCTACCGTCGAAACTTAAATGGAATACTTACACCTTTATTATATCTAGGAAATGATTGATTCGTTTCAGTAACTAGGCTAGGGTACATTGTTCGCATGCTATATAAACAAACAAGTGATGCATAATGTTCTATTCTCAATCGAGATAGTCCACTGCGTACAGGACACTAGATCTTCCGAGCTGAAACGCGCTATCAACGCGATGACTCATCGACGTTTTTATTATTACGTATTCCATGCCTGGTACTTCGACAGGGCCGGATTTAGAGGTCTGGAGGCCTCGGGGCCCCAAATTATTTTCCAAATAAAATTAACAATTTTTAGTCGAGTTTGTCGAGTGACACCAAGTATAGATTATTTTTATATTTAACGAACATATAAATATAATCGGAAACAAGAATTTTCTAAAATTAAAAATTGTTTACTAGTCTGAATTTGAAATTTTTTTTCCGAAGTCTTTTTAATGGCCCCGGTTGCCCTTTCATAAATCCGGCCCTGTACTTCGAGGTATAATTTTAATAATATAGTGTATGTTACATTAAACAAATATATTTTTTTTTTTTGGTTGTAAGCGCGGTGCGATGTCGCGGCCCAACCGCGTGCAAAACACTTCAGCAATGCCGTTTTTTCTTTAACAAAACAATACTCGTGTGTGTGTTGTTAGTATAACATAATTATCACGACAAAACCGAGGCGATATAGTTTCTAGAGAAATCGTTTGTTCTGAATATGTTACTATACGAAGGCGCGCTTTTACGGTTGGTTTCAATGTTCTATCCACAGATATATTTGGTTACTGGAGATCGAATTTTGAGGTAAGTATTACCTATCTCTAGTAACAAAATCTATCTGTCGACAGAATATTGAAACCAGCCGTTATTAGAGGCAACATCGCACCGCGGGGCATTTGTTCGTGAAAAAATTACTTGTACTTATTTATTGTAAATACTTTCCGAGTCTCATTTCACCAGTGACGGACGTCGGTTCTGAGACGCAGAACCTAAATTTCTGTCCCTTATAATAGTTTCATTATATTACCAGTGTGAATACAAAAGGCTGTGCATTTAATTTTCGGCTTCATCTTAACATGGACGCAAACCAGTTGTGTTGTCTTCCAGAGAATATTCTCCCAGAAACTAATAATAATTGAAAAAAAATTAAATAAATGTTTCATATAGTTTTTTTGTACTGTCACCTGTCTACAATACGCGTCAAAATGGCTGCTTAACATTTTAATGTACGTAACAATTTCTCCCCATCAATAAGAAACCGATGTCTGTCCTTGTCAACAGCCACGTATTATTATGTAAGCAAATTTGAGATCCCATCCCGGGCGGAAATTCTCGTTTTCTTTCCCACGATCCGTGGTATAAATTGATAAGAAATCTCGTCGGAATGGGGTCTAAAGTTTGTCCCGGACAAATTTTGTTTTTCGATAAATGTTCGTGCA